ATATTTACTGCAGGCATTGAGACACTAAAATATCATTGCCAAATTATTTATAGTCATTACTCTCTTTATTTGAACAATATCAGTATATCACATCCACTTATTGGCTGCCCAATGTATAAATTTTTTACCGAGATTCTTTTTTTTTTTGTAAAAAAGGCAAAAATACACTACTCCGTATTAGTTATGGTGTTGCTGTTTCTCGATTTAGTTTTTTATCTCTAAAAAACATTCTTAAAAGAAATAAGATCAGATAACATTTATTTAACATTTAGATTCCAATAAACTAAAGCCGTTTCAATTGTAAGCATTACCATTTTGCACAAAGTGGATGTCCGAAACAAAAAGTAATAGAGTCAATTCTCTAAATAGGACTAAAAAGTGGCAAAATTGCACAAATAGGACTACATTTTTTAAATTCCTTTAATAGGACTATTTGTGTGTGTGTTTGGACAAATATACCCTTGTAACTTGTGAAATATTTTAATTAATAATAAAATAATACAAAAATAATAAAATTCGAAAAAAATATTAAAAATCGTAAAAAGATAATACAAAATTATTAAAAATATTTTTTAAAAAAATCAAAAAAAATATTTTAGTAAAAAAAATAAAAATAAAATAAAAAAAAGTCGTAAAATTTAAAAAAAAAAACATTACCACCCCTGCCACCCCCCAACACCACCAGCTCTCATCACCGGAGAAAAATATGCCAACATTTTAAATAATGCCATAATGATGGCATATTCAATGAAAATGTTGGCATATTGAAGAGTAATTATGCCATCTTTTTGGCATTTTCGGAAAAAGATTGCATTTTTTTATCAAAAGTGGAAGAAATTTCACCAATCGGAGGTGGTGGTGCTGGGAGGCGGCGGGAGGCGGTGGGAAAAGTATCCATAATTTTTATCATTTTTATGGGTTTTTACTATTTTTTATTATTTTTGTAAAAAAGTTAATAAAATAAAATTTTAATTTTTTATTTTATAAATGTTTTATAAATTTTTTATAATTTTTTTACGTTTTTTAAATATTTTTTACATTTTTTATGATTTTATTATGAATTAAAGCATTTCATTATGAATTAATACTCTTAGGGGTATTTAGGGTAGAAAATCAATGTTTAGTCCTATTTAGGAAATTTAAAAAGTAGTAGTCCTATTTTTACTTTTTAGGAACTCATTAGTCCTATTTAGGACAATTTCCGTAAAGTAGTATGAAACGTGAAAAGACGTTACATTCCAATAATTTACTACGTATAATTTTTCGTTAAATAACTCATAACAATATCTTACAACACATTCATACGGTAAATAAAAGCATATAAACTCAGACACACATTGAATTTTCTGATACAAATTTATGTAATGATGATATGAACAAATTTGTACAAATGGATCTATTTTAAACTCTTGTTCAATACAACTTTAAATGCAAACTATTTCAATTAGTTCTTCAGCTTTTTTCATAAACGGAAATACATACGGAGTAGTATTTATTTACAGAAGTACAGAACTACGCATGCATGTAGGGTACTTGTAATTTTTGCCTAGATGAATTATGAATAGTACATCTCCATCCTCATGGCATACCAAGTTATTAGATCAGACCCCAATTGCATGAGCGGCGTATTCGATGTACGTGGGAAACCCAGAGAGCAAGCCTGCTTCAACGGAGCAACCAATGTCGTCGTCAATGCTACACTCAATACGATCGATGCCTCTCCTTTTTTACATGTTGCCTGGTGACGTTGGTGTTCCCCGCATGTCAGCATGTGTACGTATCGTTATTCCAGAACTATGGTGGAGCTAGATGCCTTGCAAATTTTAGGCACCAATTAAAGTCCTCATGACTGGCCGGTGGTAGGCAACGAATTGAAATGGTTGGATACACCTATATATACACCCAAACGTTTGAATTGAGTATTATTTATTAAAATATTAAAAATATATTAATTATGGAGTAATACGCACTCAGCCCTATAATGTTAAATGATGCACTCCATTGAGAAATGCGAAACGTTGCTTTTTTTATTTGAACATTTATTTCAATGTTGGAGCGGAATTATCAAAGGGATATGAATGGTTAAAGTTGCTTAAGGAAACATTCCTACATTAATGGTATATGTTGGCCTGTTGGGAATAGCAAAAGACATCTCAGCATTGTCATTGTCCGCCAACATTACATGTCAACTATTGCTCTTCCAATATTTTTCCCTTCGGTGCCCAATTTTTTTCTTTCAAAAATGGATACTAATAATTTTTACATTAATTACTCACCCAAGGTGCTACAGTGTTCCCGCCCAAATTCCCTCCCCACTTTTTTGTTTTTATATATATATAGATTTGCACATATTGATGTCTATAAGGCTGTAATTTTTACCATACCCAATCTCATATAGCAAGCTCTCTTTCACTTCTTCTTTTATTAGCCATTTGTTTCATCATTGCTTGAGCCTTATTTTGCTTAAGCAAAGTAAGGAGGTTGATTGTATATGATTTTATAAGGAGTTGTTCCTGTTGATGCTTGGTAATGGGTGTCAAACCACCATTCAGCTAAGGGTAATCATGGACTCCAATCTTTGGGGTTATCACCACGCATACATCTCAAATATACTTCCAAACATTTGTTTACTGTTTCTGTTTGGCCACCAGTCTGCGGATGATAGACAGATGAGAGATTGAATCTAGTTCCATGTAAAGTGAACAATCCCTTACAAAGCTGACTTAAGAATACACCATCTGTATCTCTCACAATGCTCTTGGGCCAGTCACGTAACTTGAATATATTGTCCAAATAAGGTTGAGCTACTTCTATTGCAGTAAAGGGATGAGAAAGAGCCACAAAATGATTGGTAATCCAATGATGAAGTCTATGGAGATGTCTATGCACGCTTCCTCTGGAATGGGTAAAGGTTGCAACATGCCCGAATAAGCCGTTTTCTCATGTTTGCGTGCTTAACAAACCAAGCATTGTATGACATAGTTGCTAACCTCCTTGTTAAGACTCTTCCCATAAAACCGTGTCTTGATTCTTCTTAAGGTTGCATTCCTTCCTGAACGTCCTTCTCCTGAAGTATGGTGCCAATTTAAAATCTTATTTTTTAAAGTGATTTCATTGCCAACAATCTTCCACATTCTTCTCAATAATCCATTGTGGATATAATACTTATCCACCTAATATTAAAGTTCAAAAAACAATTAGTCACATATGTTAGTCATTATTCATTCTAGTTAGTTATTCGTGTATAATATCTAAATTAAAAGAACCTTGCATGTATTTATTTTTATCATTTGCCCCACATCTAAAAAAGACGAGATTTTCCCGACCCAATTGTGTATATATGAATGTACTTACTACAATATACGGAGTATGAAAGAAAGTTCATAATAGATTTGAAGAGGCTCATTGTGTTATTATATGAACTTTTCTTGTTTAATGACTTTTTAAATATTTACAGGCTTAACTTGGGCCTCTTTTCCCGCTTTGTAGGTGTATGTGACATTTAAATGACGTCTCACGTCTAGAGACAATATCATTCTTTGCCCTTTTAACAAACTTTGATTTTTATATTGAAGTATTAATGATTCCTTTAAGAAAAATTTTACGTCCAGTTATATTCGATACCTGTTGGGTCGGTTATGGTTTCAGAAAAAACTACTCATTAAGTATTTGAATGATTACAAAATAGAGAAATCACCCAACAAAGCCTATACAATTATATGTATAACCATCCCCACATGTCCATTGATATCTTTAAGTAATACTCTATCCCTTCATTATGTTAAGATTGACTTACATTTTCTTTTAAATCAATAATATCATTAAAATGGTCTTATACGGAGTACTAAATACTCCCTCCGTCCCATAATGAACTTCTCAGTTTGACTTCACACATATTAAGAAAATAAATTTGACTTTACTGTGGAGTGCACTGTTTAAACACTCTTTGACACTGTTTGCACACTGTTTTACACGGTTTAGCACTGTTTGGCACTTTTTTGATGTAGATTATTTGCAAAATAAGAAAAGTTTTGAAGTGTGAAGTTAATTTCGGGACTGCCTGAAAAGGAAAGTGAGAAGTTAATTTTGGGACGGAGGGAGTATGATAATAGGCCTGTCAATGGGTCGGGTCTAGACCCGGACCCGACCCGGACCCGGTTGTTTTAACGGGTATGAGTCCTTATTTTATTCCGTTTACCCAGACCCGAACCCGGACCCGTTAGTACTTTTAATAAACGGGTCAGATATGGTACATATGATTCTGACCCGTTAAGGACCCGGACCCGTTTAAAATTTCTTATTAGTATATACACACACACTAATACATAAAGAGGTTAGTTATAATACTTCAAATAAAAATACAAACTTATATATATATATATATATATATATATATATATATATATATATATATATATATATATAAAGTGATTAGTTTTAATTCTTTGATTAAAAAGATACAAATTAATACATACCTAATGTATAAGTGATAATATAATACGGAGTAGTATATAATATGCTTTTAGTCCAAAAGAACTTTTTGTGATTTAATTTCTAGTCTAATATACGATTTTTCTGTGGGAGAGAAAGAGACACAAAGTGTGGAATTGTACGCATCTACAACAAACGATATTTTATTCAATAAAAGTACTAATTTTCTACGATAAACCTTGATTTTTTTTTAAAGTGAAGATATATTTTGCGTTTAAATTTGTGCACTTTGATTTACATTTCATATACATGTTTTGCTATTTTTAAAAAATTATATAATGTTGTGCACTTGTGCATATGATTCTTGACGGGTCTACCCGACCCGGTTCCGAAACCCGTTGGGTCCGGGTCCGGGTCCAATTTTTTAGACCCGCCGGGTAAACGGGTCAGGTCCGGGTCCTTTATTTACTTAGCGGGTCCGGGTCTGGAACACTACGTTCCGACCCGGACCCGACCCATTGACAGGTCTATATGATAATGGTTATTGATTCTAACTTTGGCTTATTTTACTTTTAGTCCGCCGGCTGAAGTTGGACATATTTGATCGAAAACACTGTTTCAACAGCAGAATCTGGAAATCTTTTCGATTGGCCAAGGTAAGACTGGCAGGGAGAAACCATGTTGAGAGCTCCTACTCCGAACAGCCTCTCGAATCACCCGACACCGGAAAACGAATCTACTTCACAACAGCCGACAACGCCGCCGCAACAGCTACTTTCACAGCAGCTGAGGTCTTCATCTTTAGCTTCCAGGAGTCATCAACTCCATCCTGCCAGACCTGCTATGATCGATCTTTTTAACCTCTACTTAGGAGTGGTATCAACTCTAATCCAGTGTATTTGTTACTCAGTTCTTTGATAATTTTATTTTTCATCCTATGTTATTGGCTTGTTATATACTCCCTTCATCTCTAGTTTAGCTTCTTAGTTGTTTTGTCATTATCTTTAATTCGTATGATAAAAAATCATGAGTTAAATTTCGAAATAAATTGACATATTTCTTTTTTAGTTAAATAAATCTGATTAAAGTAGCGGGAAGCTAAATACTGGAAAGGAGGGAGTGCTATTTTTTTTTATTATTCATCCAAAATTCAGTCTTACATATTTGTTTTTCAAATAAAATATCATGTCATTGCGGAAGAATGCACGGAACAAGCAGGATGAGGCAACCCGAGAACCTCCGTACGTTTTTTTTTATTTTTATTTTATCCTGAGTTAAACTTATTAGGTTCAAGATTGATTTTGCTGCTTTGAACTACAAAAAATGATATGGGTTTTATGTGGTTTGTGTTGATCACATTCTTCTTTGCCACTTTAAATGTGAATTATGATCGGCCAAATGTGAAATGTTCCTTTTGCTTGCATACACTGTGATAGTCCATGGCTCCATGCACTCTTCACATGCTCCAAGATGCCAATTGTAAACATATAATGATCTCCATCTGTCAATCACTGTCATCTCTCGCAGTTGCTGTTCACCCTATTTTTAGTTTCTAATCGATTATTTGTACACACTACATAGGAAGCATCTTTTGATATTCCTTATTATTTCATTATTTCATAGTTGCTGCATTGTGCACTGGGCACCACATTTTTGTTTGGTGTCCATGCTTTCTATACAAAGAATACCAACCTGCACTTAATCTTTTAATTTCTTGATCTCGCACTAAGCATTACATTCTACCCTAGGCTAAAGATAGTATTCACTTATTCTGAATCAATAGTATTACTGACTGTAGAAAGCCTGCAACTGGGTTTTAATAATAAACCATGTAGAAATTGAAATACTGATTTCTAAAAGGAGCTTTATAAACTGATGTAGTTTTGTAAATTTTGCACAAAAAAAGAGCATGCAGTATTCAATGCGGTGCAAATGATTAATTGTTGTAGAGATGTGTATTCATTTTATTTGGAACCAAGTGTTTTTTTAATATTAGCATCGTCTTATTTAAAAAATATTTGAGCTGGCAGTCCATTTTATGCTAATTTTCTTATATTCTTTTATTTTTGAATTGCTGAATATTATGATTTAAATAAAAATGATGCACAGGAACAAGGCACAAAAGAGAGTTACTGCTCTAAACAGGGAGTTTCCTCCCCAAAATGAACAATTCCTTATAGATTTTGAGCAACTGCAGAGCCAATTTACTGTAAGCTTCAACATTAAGAATTTTTAGAGCTCTTTTAGTTGCTTCCTTCTGGGAATAATGAGTTTATGCTGACATGTTCTGCATCTTGATTGTCTGGTGGTTCATCAGGACCAAGAACAATTGCATGCTGTGACAGAATCTGTTCTCATATCTTTGGTTATTCAGTGTAGTAGCCATGCTCCCCGAGCAGAATTCCTCCTCTTCGCTATACATGGCCTGTGTAGCATAGGGTACATAAACTGGGATACTTTCTTTCCATCTCTTCTTTCTTCAGTTTCATCAGCAGACATGTGTGTTGGTCAGGGGAGTCAACTTGCTGGTACTGGACCATCTTCTGCTTTATCACATTCTGTGATGCTGTCCAATTCCATTACAGTAACTAATACCTCCAATTTTCCGTCATCAAATCCTGCATCTCCTTTACCAAAGATCCATGGTATTGGATCTCCTGTGCAGCCGGCAGCTGAAACATCACTTTGTGTCACTTTGTCCGCTATGAAGTCATCTGATGTTAGTGCCGCAGGTCAACAGTCTATGGCAAGAGCAAATTTCTCCCTATGGGACAATGCACTTACTAGCCTGCAACTATTGTGTTACAAAATAATTCTAACTGGTTTGGAATCTAATTTGAAGCCTGCAACACATGCTGATATTTTGCATCACATGTTGAATTGGCTGATTAGCTGGGACCAAAAAAATGAGATGGATGGCTTTGATGGGTCAAAACACTGCAAACTTGACAAGGCTCACATTGAGTGGCTACACAGTTGCTTAGATGTGATATGGTTGCTTGTTGAGGATGACAAATGTCGTGTACCTTTTTATGAACTTCTCCGAAGTGGGCTGCAATTTATAGAAAATATACCTGATGATGAGGCATTGTTCACTCTTATTTTAGAGATCCACCGGAGGAGGGATATGATGGCTATGCACATGCAAATGTTAGATCAACACCTTCACTGCCCAACATTTGGCACTCCAAGACTTTTGCCTCAGGGAACCTCAAATATGCCTTGTGAACAGGTGACTCACATGAGATACTCGCCGATTACATACCCCAGTGTGCTAGGAGAACCGCTACATGGAGAGGTAATACTATTCTCCAATTATATTAGGACGTTGATTTATATACTATTTTTCAAAGGGAGAAAGTACAAATATACCCTTAAACTATGTCTAGGAGAACAAATATACCCCTCAAAGACTTAAATTAATGTGACTAAAACAGCTCTTTCTTATTGTTTTGTTTTTTTTGCAGTTCAGTAGAACATTAAATGCAGTATCTTAAATTCTTAATATGTAGTTTTTTATGATTAATAGTAAATTAGATATTACTCTTTGTTTGAAATAAATTAACTTAATCATGCAGTATTGTGTCTATTCTCATTGATTGTCTTTGGATTTCCAAATTTACTGTACAATAGAATCTTAACTGAAAATATATGGATATAGGATCTTGCTGTTTCTATCCAAAGAGGAAGTCTGGATTGGGAGAGAGCTGTGCGATGTCTAAGACATGCTCTTCGCAGCACTCCATCACCAGACTGGTGGAGGCGTGTACTTCTTCTGGCACCTTGTCACAGACCTAGTGGACAGGCTCTGACTCCTGGTGCAGTATTCACATCTGAAATGATCTGTGAGGCAACAATTGAAAGGATTGTTGAGTTGTTAAAGCTGACTAATTCAGGTCGCGTTATTTGATATTTCCCTGTTTTCTTGAAATATGTTAAAGGTGGATGGATCGTGTATAATTTATGAGACATAGGATGAGAGGATGTTGACTTAGCTCATCTGAGCTAATTTAGGATGTTTTTACTTGGACTGAAATTTCTGGTCTGTTGGTCTGATCTGTTTAAATCTGGTATGGTTTGGTTTGAACTGGTCTGGACGTCTGGTAGATGGCTGATCTATGTGTATTTTATAAGTGTCAAAGTTTGGTCTGGTCTGTTTAAGTGTGGTCTATTCTGTTTAAGTCTGGTCTCTTTTGGACTTCTGGTCTAATCTGGGACTGAAAGCAGCCCAAGTAAAAACATCCTTATTGTACTAGTAATTGTAGTATTAAAAAAAACTTACATATTTAGAATATTGTTCTTAAATAATATTATGATGGCCTGGCGGAATGACATGGCTGATTTTGTGCTAGCCACCATAGGCAACATATGTGAAGCACAATGATAACGTAAAGAGGGAGGGATGTAATGAAAAGAATGAATGGAATGAAATGGAAAACAATAAGTTTTTTAAATCAAATGAAGAGAAAGAATAAACTTGGGATGCACCACCCTTCAACAATAATTTTAATCTTGCCCAACAAGAATAACTTGTCCATATTACTTGGCTTAATACGTATATAGTTACCATATGCACACCGATGCAGCAGAGGGATACTCCGTATTATTTATACTTGAATACAACGTATTAGATAAGCCAGAATAATCTAGCATTGTTAAGAGAGTAATTTAACCTATCATTCCATATATACATGTTTCACCATGCCCCTTGAAAATTGGAATATGTAATTTTGAGTGATTTGATTAGCTTTTTTGGAGCAAACCTTGATATCCTCGTTTACTTCTTGAGTCCACTTTCCACTATATGTCTCTGTAACATGTATCATTGCCGCACACCAGAAAACGGCATTGTCCACAAGTCTTAAAATATGAATTAACACATATTCTTTTCTGCACGTTTTTTTGTCACTTTTCACACAATTCATACAGGTCTAAACATTCCTTCAACACGGCTGCAGCATTTTTCAGTCTCCTTAGACCCACTAGTACCATTGCTGCATTCAACAGTTCCTTGCCACCAGTCACAGTTTTGATAAAGTAGTTAATAGCTCCTTGCCCCATATAACTTTAATTCAATACCAGTGAATCAAGATAATCACGTTCCAACACTGGATTCATCAACATTCATAATTGTTGGATAATCCCAAAATGGGAGCAATGAGGCCTTAAAAGACTGGGACATAAGATGGGATATGGCTCCATGAAAGTCCTCACTGCACGTGAAGGTGCGTGAAGGGAAGGAGATATGAAGCCTGTGGCACTTGAGATCTCACTGAGCACCTTCTTATGACTGGAGAAATTGGCTGGCTCTCCCCCTTGCCCATATGCTCAAATTTTAGACTCAAAAGATGCTAAAAAGTGAAAATGATGAAAAGTAGAGTGTGAGAACCAAAATTTCTTGCAGCGTTTTTCAACATTACAGACCATAAAGTATTCAAGATGCCCTATTAATATACTTCATACATAAATTAGGGTTCTGCATGAATGGGCTAAGCCTACTATAATTAGGGTTAGCCTACAATACTCTGAACCCATGTTGTAAAAAGTCACCTTAGACGCCCACTTTACCTAGACAGATCTGTTTCTAGGAGCAGATGCCTGATCAGACATTTCTAGCTGGCTTTAAGCTTGATTAAGCACCTTGACAGGCTAGGCACCATTTGAGGGTATTCGGGCGCCTGCTGCAGCGCTATTCAAAACAATTACTTCTGATTTTTAGTTGGCCTTTGAAGATAGAGGTATATGGTGGAAAGTGACACTATGAGTCGGGAGGTTAAATTAAACCTGGATGGCATGTTTTTATCATTGTAAAAATATTGATCTGACGTTTTTATGATTTATGTATTCACTTTTGCGTATTCACTTTGCGGCACTGGGGTAAATGAAAATGATGAAATGATGATGTATTCACTTTTGCGTATGTAACCGAATATTTGTATACTGATAATTTCAACTGTTTTTTTGCAGAAACGAATTGCTGGCAGGAGTGGCTCATATTTTCTGATGTATTCTATTTTCTTATGAAAAGTGGATGCATTGATTTTGTTGACTTTGTGGACAAGCTAGTATTACGGCTCCAGGAAGATGATCAACATATACTTAGGACTAATCATGTCACATGGCTGCTGGCACAAATTATTCGGGTTGAGCTAGTGATAAATGCTTTGAACCTGGACTCAAGAAAGGTTGTGTTACATGGGTTTAAGGGTATAACCTAGTTGCTTTCGGATGTCCTTTGAATTTCTTGCCAACCTATTACTTCTGTCTATGGCTCTGTGCTCATTATAAACAGTTTTATCATCTACTTGTGTTCCGCATGACTTTAGTTGAAAACTTTTTATTACTTTTTGTACTTTGAGTTCCAAAAGGCAATGCGCCACAGCTCCTACTTCCGTTTCATAGTCATCCTTATTTTTCATTGTATGTATCTCAGGGAAGAGTTCTCTGGAGTTAATGCATTATATTCATTAAATTTATTATGTTTTTGGATATTTAAAAGCTCTGTTTTTTAAAACTCTAAATTTGTATTGATTGAAAAAGGTGTACTATGTTGCACATTTTTGTATTAATTATATATCCTTCTGGGCAATTGTTTTTCTTAGGACAAGCTGTCTTTGTGTCGTTATTCTTCTGCCTTCATCATTAATTCGTTATACAGTACTGTTATACCAAAAGCATATAGTACTCATAAAATAATGTGTTTTAACACCTTGTAGTTTTTAGTGTGTATACTTCTATCTGGGTTTTTCTGATTAGTTAAAGAGGCTAAGTTTTTATATAAAATTATCCATTTATATCCTTTTGAATTAGTTTGCATGATTCTTGTAAGTAGTTTTTAATTCAAAATAAAATTTCTAATAGGTGGAGACAACAAAAAAAATTGTGTCGTTTCATAAAGATGAGAAAAGCTGTGACCCTAATAGCCCCCAAAGTATCCTCCTTGACTTTATAAGCAGTTGTCAGAACTTGCGGATTTGGTCACTCAATACATCAACTAGAGAGTATCTGAACAATGAGCAACTTCAAAAGGGAAAGCAAATAGATGAATGGTGGAAGCAAGTGAGTAAAGGTGCCTATTCTGTTACTCAATTGGCTCTGTTTAATGTTTATCCAAGTGATTTCAATCGCATGCAGCAAATTTTGTCGGGATACTAAAAGGTTAGTTTTGATGCGCTACTTTAAAAAGATTCTGGACTCGGGGAGTTTATAGGGGTAAACTGTCTATCAATCATTATTTGATGAGACTATGTGAGTCATCTGTTGACAGCAAAATTTCTTCATCATTGTTCAGTCCCTACCAACTTTGTATCCATCTTTCTATTTTCTAATAGACAAACTATGATTGAGAGGAATTTGGGGAGATCCAATTTCTTTTAAATCTGTCTGAGATAAACCCTGCTTACTTGCTTAGAGATTCTTGCAAAGCAGCAAAGGCTAAATTTCCTACAGAACCACTTTCATATCTATACAGTACAATAAAACTTGCCATGGATACTTAATTTAAAATATCTAACCTTTCTCTTTAGCCTGCTGAAATGCAAAGAACGCCTTATATTACCTGCGTTAGTGTATCTTGAATACATACTATAAATCATGTCATCATGTATGAATCATGTTTAATGACAGTTGTTGGTTAGTTGCAAGAAGGTTGGTTGTAAAAAGTGGAATATAGAAAGTGAGTTATTAATTACCGGGACAGAATGACAAAACTTCTGTGTATATGCCTTGGATTCATCTCAAAGTAAGGGAAATATGTTCCACTGGTATCAGATCCTTCTCTACAAGGGGAATAACTTTTGAATCTATATCTATCCCTGATTTCTTTCTCCTTAAGTGTGCACCATAGCCCTATTGTTTCAACACAATGTACCAAAATCCAACTAGGTACTCGTATTACCCTGTAATACAAATTGCTTTACTTGGTCTTGGGGTTAAAATATCCATTGAAAAACTTGTTACAATTTTAGCATGTCACAAGGTTTTGCTTCAATCTCACTCGATCACTTCTAGGATCTGCGGGCGCGCATCCTTCGTTCATGTTCATAGATATATATTACATAGAGACATGCATAATGGACTGTAAACTTCTTGTACCACCCATAAATAAAAACATAAATAAGGTGAAGCCTTGGATTACAAAGCAGAGTATAAAGAGATTTATCAGTAACCTGTGGGGAAGCTTATTTATCTTACTCATTCTTCACCAGAAATGCCTGCTAGGTGACTGTTGTAAGTCATTTCATGCATAACCTGAGAAAGATTCATCTGCATGCAGCCAGCCTAGTTCTCCATCACTTAAAAACACATCTAGTGATGTGGTCTTGTTGGAATGGGAATTGAATGTTCTTTTGAGGGTACATGTACTCCCCAGTCTCATGGGCAGGAAGTCAATAACAGGTTATGACCTTTTTCCTAGAAGATATAATATCTTTTGAGGGTACATGTACTCCCTAGTCTCACGGACTGTATCACTGGTTGCAAGCACAATGTAGTGGTTGCGGTAGTGGCTATAACTGCATTGGGGCATGATTGTGATATGAAAGAAAAAAACAGGTTATGGATGCATTCTGATGGCGTTGGTCGCAACTGTGACCTTTGTTTATAACCGTGAGTCCTTGACCTGTATTTATTTCAAAATAAGAAAAATATATTTCAGTTCAGTTTTTCTTTAAACAAATTTGTTGGAAGAGATTTATGATTCTGGACAATTTGAATTAGTTACACATTTAGGCAGGTATTTGGAATCCACCAAAGAAATAAAAATAAATACTTGGAGCTTCAAGCTTCCAAACATCCAACAGTAATGTATTAGTTTTTAGTAAATTATCATGGATTTGAATTACATATTGTGTTGTTCTATTTTTGAAATGTCAGCGGAACGCATGATGGATTATATGAATTTGGATGATAGATCAATTGGGATGTTTTGGGTTGTATCTTACACAATGGCACAGCCTGCTTGTGAAACGGTGATGAATTGGTTAACTTCAGCTGGTTTTACAGAGTTATTAACTGGACCAAATGTGCAGTCCACTGAGAGAATAATGATGATGCGTGAAGTTGTCCCATTGCCAATATCATTGCTCTCAGGGTTTTCTATAAATTTGTGCATGAAACTTGCTCTTCAGATGGAGGATTGTATGTTTTCCGGACAGGTTAGATACCTAAAGGAACTAGTTTTTCATTATCATAAGCTTCTACGGTGATGTGCCTATAGGTGTTTGAAAACATCGGCAATTCTTCGTGTTCCGGTTTTATGCAAGATGGGACACACACTATTAACCTTTACTAGTAGCCCTAACTCTTAACTCTAAGTACTAGTGAAGCGTTAAATGTAAAATAACAAAATTTAATCAGTATTGATGTTGCATTTGTTTTTATGGAGTAGTATGCATTTGATGCTTTATGACACAAACTTATCTCAGTATCAACCAAACTCCTTGTTGTATTGAAGTGATTTATGTTTCATATGCACTTGGTCTTTTCAAACAACACTACATAATTTTATCTATGATTGCAGGTACCTAGCATTGCTATGGTTGAAACATATTGTAGGTTGCTGCTCATATCTCCTCATTCACTATTTCGCTCCCACTTAAATGTAATCAATCTTTCCTCTATTCTGGATTTATGGTCAGGTTTATCCTCAATAGGCATGTTCATCATTGGTTGGAAATTGCTTTTCTTTGAAACAGAACATAAACTATGGCAACTATGTTAATTTCGATTTTGCCACAACTTCTACTTGTGTTAGTTAAATGATAATATTTGCGTACTTGCTAATGCATTCTATTGATATGTATATTGATGAGAAATCGGTCCATAATTCCATATTAATAATACAAATATGTACGAGATGGGTGGCTATGTGCCTAGCTTGTTACATATGTAATCTATTCTAGTACATTTAAGTGACATTCAACCTACATGTCACAGCGTTTAGGCTCCGTTTTGAAAGCCCAAAAAGTGTGTTTTGAAACACGATTTTCTGCAAAATCAGTTTCATTTAATGGCCTTTGGATGGAGTTGGGAAAAGTGTACTTATTGTTTGGTTCGTTTTCCAGAATACTAGCACCCTACCTGTTGGAAAGTTTCCCTCCCTATATAAATTAAAATTATCAAACTATAACAAAGTCATTATGATGTAATAATGATAATATGATTGACGAATGGAAAATAAGTGTTGTAGTCGAAAATAAATCCAACCACAATGCTAGTGTACCAAAATATAAAGAAGTCTTCTCCTGACATAGCCATGTCATGCACTTCCATGGAAGTGTTCACAAAACTGATATTAGTATGTCATGCGAATTCAACAAAGTATTTATAAGTAGCAACAAATGACATATGGAATTTCTCAATCAATGTTCTCTTGTTCTTAGCACTTTTAGGTTGTACCCTGGAAGATTCCTGCCTCCTCATTTTACATCAGATTTTTGCCTTAACAAAGGTGTTCTTCACTCGGTCCAGAACCAGTAGTCATCACCTGTCCATCACTTCGTTAGAATACAAGGAATGAATGGCTTTTGCAAGATCACCAAGTTAATCAGTCACATTGTCAACATTAAGTACTTTGTTTTTTTTACGTCTGACTTTTTGTAATTAGGTAAGTGTAGATAAAGATGCTTTCTGATAGAACCCTCAGATTCAATTGGTAATTTTGAAGTATACTAGAGAATGATCGATGAAAATAAAGGAAAATACAGTTTGAGACACTTAGAGCAGTCTCCTCTCCCAAGCCAAAGCCTAACCCAATTTCTGCCTACTCCTTTATTCCCTTCCTCCCACTCTTACAGTAATTATATTCTAACGGGCCAGCCCATATTTTATGACATGGCCCAGAATCATAGTTATACAATACCACACTTATTTAATATCAATCTATTACTACTATTATTATTCTCTACAGCCCAAGGCCCTATCATATCTCCCCCCTTAGAGAACCACCTTGTCCTCAAGGTGGGTGATAGGAGACATCCTTGATCTTTCACTTCATCTTCAATTCTTTATCCTGGCGCCTCTACCTTCCCAGTATCTCACTGATTTCTGAGCGGGGATCTTCAGTACTTGATCTTTCCAATTCACATATGTTTCTGCAGCATAGGATCTATCTGGTGAAGTTTCATTCTCTTCATTAACCTTCAAGCCTTCAATAGCCACAATTTTTTCCTTGCTTTCGTGGGGCCCCTTCGAGGTTCTCTCTTCGGAAACTAGCAGTGTGCTGGGTGTAAGTTTGATGTTGCTCAACTCAATGCCTGCAAATAACCCCATGCAAACTTCTCCAATTACCATCCACTTGTCTGCACGGCAGTTTTGGTCACTGTCCAAGTGCGTTTCCAGCACATAAACCCCATAACAGACCCCGTTCCTACAATTCATTGGCATAGGCCCCCCCTGTACCCTTGAGCTTCCAAACTATGATGCCTCTCCTTCTTAGAAACTGAGCTCTCATGCCCACTGTGGTTTCCCATGAATCACTGATAAGTGGGACACCAGGACCCCCATATACATGAATCATAGTTTGATATGGCAGAGGTCCCAACCTTCCTTCATCTGGTTTATACAGAGTCCCATATAAGGTAGTATTCCCCTGTTGTGCTTGTATTTGAATTATCTCTGGCGTTTTCAGTTGGAACATTTTGAGTATTGGAATACTCATTGGGGTTGGTTGCTCATGCAAATGCATGCTGAAAGTCTGAAACTTCCATCAGGCAAGGCGAAAACTGAGATTATATGAGGTGAAATCAACAATTTAAAATTGTCAACAAATCTATGCATCTGATGATCAATCTTAATAGTATTTCTGGAGTACAGTTCAACTCATGCAACAGTTTGGAACAATAAAGGTGGGACTCCCAGGAGCTATCAAAAGTGCCAGTGAAGTATAAAATCCCAGCAGTTTCTTTTATGCCTACCACTTGCTCATTTAGCTGATCTAGCAAATGTAAGAGTGCAGCCTGACCATGAACAAGGTCTGTATAGGTTGGAGCATCACTAGCAACATTGCCCAAAGCCCTGACAGCTTGCTCACTAACATCATCATTAGGTGAATTAATAACATCATCATTGGGTGAATTAAGAGGCTGTATAAAATTAGGGTCAGTCCCCTGTTCCATGACAAGCCTTGCATATCCGGTTGTCCTAGATGTAACATATACCGGTTCCCGAACAACTTCAGTTTGCCATTGGGGTAAGTCACTCCTTTCAAGGAGATATACAAAATTTGGAATAACTTCTGCTTTATTCACCTCATCAATAGGAAGGCTACGCTCAATGGACAAAAGCTTTATGAATGGTATAGTTGCTTTAGTCTCTTGAGAAGCACTGTTTTGAGTAAATCCATTATCACCCCTAACAGACTTTGTGTTCATGCCATGAACCAGCATTCCCCTCAACCTGAATCTGCTCTTCCGAGAGTCCTGAGCTAGAAAAAACTTTAACTCCCCTTGACACTTCCCCCATTGACCTATGACTGACAGTAACTCCCATATCTCCAGGGTTCACTCTTAACACTCACAGACCGCAGTTTGGTCTCCAGAGAAGTATTATCAGCTTCTCTAGCAGAATTTTGCCCTTCTGAGGGAGGTTGCGGCTGATTAAAATACTCCTGATGGAACGTATGAGGTTCTGCATAGTGAGAAGCACTTTGTCGCGGATTGACAAAGGATGCTGAAGCCTGAGAACTGACCGTATCTGCACGGGATGAAGATGCTGTTTGCGATGCCATTTGCGAACGCAAAACTTCTCTCGATAGCGTCGTACTTGGTTGTGAACTGCTGATGGATGATGAAGTTCGGGATTTCGAACTGTGAGACGAAGTTCGCGGCTGCGAACTGTGAGATGAAGATCGTGAAGAAGCCATACAATTGGATGGAAGTGCTGGCGACTGAGAAGAGACCTGCGCTTGCGAAGATGTCTGCAAACTACGCGATGCAGTTCGCGATTGCGAACTAGGAAGAGCGACGGACGAAGACACCTGATTATTTTCAATCAGCCGACGGTGTCTAGGAGGGCTCCTCGCTCTGTCTCTATGTCGCTTGAGTCTGTGATGAATTTTGCCCAACATATGGTGCATCTCCTTCCACTGACTTTCACTATTGTCCATATTCTTCCCTCAACTGTCTTCCAGGTCGTTGAAGCTGATGATCGATTCAGGCTCCAGGAGCGGTTGCTCTGATACCAATGATAGAACCCTCAAATTCAATCGGTAATTTTGAAGTATACTAGAGAATGATCGATGAAAAGAAAGGAAAATACAGTTTGAGACACTTAGAGCAGCTCCTCTCCCAAGCCAAAGCCTAACCCAATTTTTGCCTACTCCTTTATTCCCTTCTTCCCACTCTTATAGTAATTATATTCTAACGGGCCAATCCATATTTTATGACATGGCCCAGAATCATATTTATACAATACCACACTTATTTAATATCAATCTATTACTACTATTATTATTCTCTACAGCCCAAAGGGCAGATCAACCTATCACTTTCCCCCTTAGCTCCTCTTCCTTTTCATACAGAGTCAAGGGGCAGATCATTTCCACAAAAATGGCCATTTGCTCATAGTGCTCAATTTTCTTGCTAGGTACACTCGATATGTAGGATTCATCATCATCATCACCCCAGTGCCACAAAGGTTCCCACACCTTCGGTGGGATAAGGGTCGGATGTATGCAATCTTACCTTTGTACTAATTACTAAAGCACAGAGAGACTGTTCCAGATGACCCATAGTGAAAATCGTGTAAAAAATTGCATGGACTGACTGCTTCATAACAAAAGAAGCGCAGATAGTTTAGTAAGCCATGCCCTAACATTTGTTTCTGAATTAGCTATATAAGAACTACATGATGAAAATAATTTGAGCATCAGCGAAATGCATCATATGTAGATGAGTCACACGTAATCGTCTTATTGTCATCCCACCCAAGACCACTAAGATGTGTAATCTAATTGCACTGGGACGGGAATTGAAACATAAAGAGTGACAAGAAACATCAATTTCCAAAATTTTATGATATGAGTACTGCAAGGAAACAGAAAAAAATAATTTAGAAAATTTAAATTCATTCTATGATGCAGGCAAAAAGGCAAAAAGTTAGTGGCATAGTTGAGAACTTCGAAATGGACATGTGGTAGAAGTGTAAAACTGCAGACAAAATAAGGAATGACATGATAGAAGAGAAGGCGAAGTATCACCGATTTGAGATTAGAGGAGGGAGAATCTTCATAGATGGTTGATGTCTCTTAAAGGGAGCAAATGCTTAGGAATGCAACATCAAAGTTGTACATAAGGACCTAACATAACTGACCAAGACAACTAGAGGAGACCTTAAAAGTATGCGTTTAGCACTGAGATGACTCTACAAGAGCGAATGATATGATTTAATCCTTTTAGCTGACCTCACCTCGCAATAAAATGATTTAGTTTGGCTTGAGATATATAGAAAATTACAACATAATATTAAACCCAACGCAGATGTGAAAATTGGTTTTGGTTGACTTATAAACTATAAGTGGCTTCATAATCTTTTGTTAACGTTCCTAAAATAAATATTTTGTTAACGATACAAGGACAGTAGTTTGAAAATAATGTTATTTTTCGTATGTACATATTGCCATCCCTTCCTCCATGTTTAACTTTAGGATATGCAATTTCTCTTCTTCCTCTTTGGTCTTTCTTCAGTTGTTAAAAACAAATAAAATGTTTTACATATTTTTATTGATGCTCATTATCTTTGTTCTTATTCCATACTTCTGCTGCAGCACCTGACACAGAGAAACCAAGCCACCTTAACCAGGCCTGGGAATACCATATTGGTTTTTGAAATTCTCAACTATCGCTTACTTCCTCTGTACAGGTTGCTTATCTCGTGTATCCAGCTCTGGACTCTCATGTTTACTGTTTAACTGTTATCATGTTATGTTTTGAATTCGATCGTGTGTTGTTAAGATGATATGTGGATGATCTACTTCTATAGCACTTTTTTTTGTTTTTGTGTTTTTAAAGAAGAAAATTTTTATCAATGAAAATTAGAGGGAGTTTACAAGGGTAAATGAAACAAACCAAATAATAAAAATAAAAAGCTACGTAGTATTATAGTAAGGCGTGTTGGGTGGTGGAGATCCGGTCCACTCAAATTGGTGAAGGAAAGACGTTCAGTTACTTGGGTCCGAAGGCAGTCCAGTTACTTGGAGCCAAAGCTATATTGCTTGGGGCCAAAGCTTGGTAACTTGGGGCCGAAGCTAGGTTTCTTGGGACCAAAGAAAGCCCATTCTCTGGAATTTTCTTTCCATCTCTATAAATAGATCATTAGTGAACCCTAAACGAATATCACCAGAAATTGTAAAAGCATTCTCTCAGAAATAAAATCTCTCTAGTTCGCATAGCGGACTAGCCGGTCAGTTTGACCGGTGAACCACATTAAATTCTTGTGTTCTTTAGATCTTGCATCTTACAATCGTGTGTTCGTGTGTATTCGTCGAAGCCCTAATTCCTAACAAGGCACAGCCAAACATAAGCTTCTTCCATTAGGTGCCCTACCCTGCTTCTTAATCAGTGGCCCGAATGTAGAGTCCAAAAAAAGAGGTTTGGTCCATTCAGATTCAAACATAATGCTTCCAAGGAATGATTGTCTTGCATTAGGGTTTGCAATTCAACATTTCAGCGAGAGAGAGAGGGTTTCTTGTGTGGTTTTGAGTACAACGTATACTTCTATAGCACTCTTATGTGCCAAAACTTACATTAGTCTATATCCCATTTGCCTATTATTTTTGTCATATTTGAGATACTTGAATTTACTGATTTGAATGAATTTGCTTGAGAGAAACTACTCTCAGCTGATTTTTATTTTTAAGGTTCAAAATTACAAGGAAAGAATCATATGTACATCTATCAATTACTAACTCCTGATTTGATTCAATCTGTACAATAAATGCTAAAATCAGGAAAGATATCATTTAGAATCACATCAAATCTTAACACTCCCTCTCATTTAGATACATATGATAGATATCATATGTATCCAGCTTGTCACAAATATATCTTATCCTCGGACCGCGGAGTGATCCCCGGAGAGAAAGTGTCACCATAAGCCAAGCCAAAAACCTGAGTAAACCCTTTAGCAACCAAACGTGCTTTCAGCCGATCAACTTGTCCATCAGGACCAACTTTGATTGTAAACACCCAACGACAACCAACAGTAGATTTCCCATGGGGAAAGGGAACAAGAGACCAAGTATGATTAATTTGAAGAGCAACCATCTCATCAAGCATAGGTTCGCGCCATCCTGGATGGGCAAGAGCTTCCTGGACAGTTTTAGGGATGGAAACAGAAGAGATGGAGGACACAAAAGCATAATGGGAAGGAGATAGACGATGATAACTTAAACATTTGTAAGTAGGATGCGGGTTCCGAGTGGAACGTATACCTTTTCCAGTTTCAATTGGAAGATCAGATTGAGCCGGTGCCTCAGGTTGGTCCGGAGCTGGAGCTGGAGCTGAATCAGCAGGGTCATTATTAGGGACATCCTCATTAGGTGCAGAACGCAGTCGACATGATAAGTGATGAGAGGCTTGGAAGAAGACAGTGGAGGACTGAGAGGTGACAATGGGGTAAGATGAGGAATACGTAAGACTTGAGAGACAAATTCAACTTCCACTAGTGAAGTGAACTATGGTTGATCCTCTAAGAAAGTGACATCTGCAGAAGTATAGAAACGGCGAGTAGAAGGTGAATAGCAATGGTAACCCTTTTGGACTCTAGAGTAGCCAAGGAATATGCATTTGATTGCTCGTGGAGATAATTTATCAAGACCAGGGGAAACAAGTAGAACCAAAGACTTTGGGGGGAACAAGGAAAATGGGGTCCTTTGGGAACAAGATAGAGTGAGGTACTTTTTTATCCAATGTAGAAGATGACATTCGATTGATCAAATGAAAAGTTGTGAGGACAGCATCTCCCCTGAATTTTTGCGGGGCATTTGCATGAACCAGTAGTGTGCGGGCTGTTTCAATGATATGTCGATGTTTTCTTTCAGCAATCCCATTTTGCTGAGGCGTGTGGGGACATGTGGATTGATGAATTATCCCTTGAGTAGCCATATATTCATTGAAATTTGTTGAGAAATAATCCTTGACATTATCACTACGCAGAACACGAATGGTATGATCAAACTGATTTTTTATTTCATTGCAGAAACTTTTGAAAATGCCAAATAACTCTGAACGTTCTTTCATTAAATGAAGCCACTTACATCTTGAAAAATCATCAACAAAGATAACAAAGTACCGAAATCCTAAAACTGATCTGACACGACTTGGACCCCAAACATCTGAGTGAACAAGATAAAAGGGAGATTCTGCATGACTATGAGTATTTTGGAAAGATGTTCTAACATGTTTACAATTTTGGCACGACTCACGACTCACAGGCTAAGGACTGTAAATGGGAAACTTGAGGTACAATTCTCCTCAATTTATTGAGACTAGGATGACCTAAACGTTGGTGAAGCAAAGAAGGAGACTCCACAGCAGTGCAAGCAACTGCAGAGGAAGTCTGAAAGTAGTATAGACCCTGAGATTCAAATCCTGCTCCAATCATCCGTATAGAAAAAGAACCATCAATAAAGGTGACAACACAATTAAGACGACGTGTAAGTTCACTGACTGAAACCGAGTTGAAAGGACAACCAGGGATCAAAAGAACAGAATTAAGAGATAAAGAAGGATGAAGAGTGGCCTGTCCAACACCAATGGCTTTAACTTTTGAACCATCGGCAAGAGTGACATGGTGCGCTGATTTAGTTTGAGATAACTTTGAGAAAAGAGAAGGATTACCGACAATGTGGTCAGAGGCACCAGAATCTATGATCCAAGATTTGAGAGGTGATGATTGAGAAAGGCATGCTGTAGAATTACCGGTACAGTTGACTGCGGCTGAGGAATGATGAGCTGCCTTAAGTTGGAGATACTCTTTATATTCATCATCTGGCAGAACATTCTGGGTGCTTTTAGCTGCTGCCCCAACAAATACGCTGACAATGACTACACTTAGGTCGACCACCAGTGCCACACCCTCCTCTATCACGACCACGACCACGACCACGACTGCCATAGCTAGAACGAGATACAAGAGCAGAGAACTCTGAATCTGTGTGAGGATCAACAATTTCAATTCCATTTAGTGTAGGAACTCGCAACAGTCGACCAATAAGGTCTTCAGCAGTGGGAATGTTTGGATTCGTTAGGATTTGATTCCGCACTGAATCAAAATCCCTATGAAAGATCAAACACCATACACATTTTATCAATTTTATCAAACACTTTAGAAAGATCAGTTTCGCTCAACATCACCTTAACTTCTTCAACAATGGATTGTGCCTTATTCACATATGACGGAAGGTCTTGGTCAGACATTTGGAGCGTTGCAAGGCTATGAACAACGTCATAAATCTGTTGGACATCATACGCGAACACACTTCTAGCTTTCTTCCAAATGTCATAACACGTCTCGTATGTGCGGAAGTGGATCAACAATTTGGGATCAATGGGCTGCCACAAAATAGCAACCAACTGATGATCTGCTTCAGTCCATTTTTCCCTTTCAGATGCACTTATCTCATCAGCTCTTTTGGTCAAATGTTTAGACAAACCTTGGCCTAAGAACCACATTTCAACAGAAACTTGCCAATCCATGTAGTTTCTGCCGTTAAGTTTTTGAGAAGTTATTTGGGGATTCCCAGAGAAGACAACGGACACAAGACTCCTGGAAGAGTTAGGGGTCGACATGACGTACACTGACTTGGGCACAATCTGGAATGACTAGGACTTTTATCCCTAGTGCGAGCAGACCAGTCTCGATGAAGATTGGCTGCAGGGACGACTAGGGCAAGTGAGGATGAGGCTTTGATACCAACTTGAATTTACTGATTTGAATGAATTTGCCTGAGAGAAACTACTCTCAGTTGATCTTTATTTATAAGGTTCAAAATTACAAGGAAAGAATCATATGTACATCTATCAATTACTAACTTCTGATTTGATACAATCTGTACAATAAATGCTAAAATCAGGAACGATATCATTTAGAATCATATCAAATCTCAACAGAGATGTTCCATTAGCCTTGTGTTTAATGAACGGTTACTGCTGACAACGTTCATCTGCTTGGTTTACCTAGCTTATCATTTTCTTGAGTAAAGAAAATGATGTCATTAATGGGTACCATGGGGTTACCACATGACCAACCCTCTCAGAAGGATATTTTATGTATATCTTTTACCACACATTGTGCACACCTAGAATATTAGTTTCCTAAAAATCTATTGGCAGGTGCCAAGGAGACTTTTTTGTAAGGATAATATGATGTTGCTAAGGATGGAGCTATGTTTTCATTTTGCAATTATATGTTTTTATATATGCTGATGAATGTTGCTCTTGTCGTCTCCAGATACCAAAGGAAAAGCAAGACATTAATGTATGATGTCACCAAAATGATATCTACATTAAAGGGAAAACGTGGTGATCATCGAATTTTCAGATTAGCTGAAAATCTGTGCATGAATCTTATTTTATCAATGAGAGATTTTTTCTTTGTGAAGAGAGAAGGCAAGGTACGTAAGTATGTTTTATGCTGACTCTGTTTTACAGTGAGACATAAGTTTTCTTACATTCAAAATCTATTGCAGGGTCCAACAGACTTCACTGAGACTTTGAATCGCATAACCGTTACAACTCTTGCAGTCATTATTAAAACTCGTGGAATTGCAGATTTTGAGCACCTACTCTATCTACAAACAATGTTGGAACAAATATTGTCAACTAGTCAGCAGTCTTGGTCGGAGAAAACACTTAGATACTTCCCATCTATCTTACGTGATGCATTGAATGACCGAATGGATAGGAGTGGCCAAATGGATAAAAGAACACTTGCTATTCAAGCATGGCAACAGGTACATATATCCCATGTCTTTGTGCATGTCTTCTGAAGATTTCTTTCTTGCTTGGCGATATCATGACTGTTATACGTCATGTATATATGCTTTTAGTTCGATGCAATAAAATGTCAAATACATCTCTTTGGATGGATAATCTTATGAAGGAAGTTATATTTGAAGAGTAGATGATGAGGGGTGTGTCTAATTTGAAAGTTATATCATTAAGTTTGTATCAAGTCGGACTTGATCAATATCCAATTTTCTAGCCGTACACTACAGGGTATGCCCAAATGTCATATTTCCCGTGCGTGCGCACTTGCTCCTCTAAAAAAATCAATAAACTCTTTCTTCCTTCTTTCATAAAGTTACAGATATTATGTATTTGCTCAATAAATCATAATGTTTTACTGGCAGTCCGAAACAGCTGTAATTCATCAATGCACCCAGCTACTTTCAACATCAGCTGATCCAACATATGTTGTTACATACCTTAATCACAGTTTTCCTATGCACCGCCAATATCTTTGTGCTGGTGCATGGATACTAATGCATGGGCATCCTGAGAATATCAACAGTGGGAACCTGGTAATAATTCTTGTTTTTTATACTTCTGCTACCTCGGTTGTGTTGCAGAAGTCTTCTACTCTCAATTATTTTAAAACGCTACTCTCATCATCAATTGCTTTAGGGACGTGCATTGAGAGAGTTTTCTCCTGAAGAGGTTACCCTCAATATATACACGATGGTTGATGTTCTGCTTCATCATATTCATTTGGAACTGCAGCGAGGACATCCTTTGCAGGTTACTGTTCTTTTGTTCTTTTCTGACTGTTTTCATGCTTAACTATCACTTTTGTCCTTGATACACACACGGTAAAACTGACATGACGTGTTTCACTCATTACTTTTGTACTTCTGGCAGGATCTTATGGTAAAAACAGTTTCCAATCTTTCATATTTTATCTGGACCCATGAGCTGCTTCCTTTGGACATCTTGTTGCTTGCACTTATTGATCGTGATGATGATCCACATGCTTTGCGCATTGTGGTATGTGTTCTTTGTTGTGTATATACATTTTACCTATCTATGTTTAATTACCTCTTTCTACGCATGCCATTTGTTTCCTGAAAAATGCTAGTTCATGTCATGCATTCATGCTTTGCTGGGGCCATATAGATTCTTTTAAAACCATTAGTCTCACAATGTTAATGTTATGGTTGTGGATTACAAGAGTTATATGGATGCATTTGTGGGAAAGCTTCAGAAGAATGCAACTGGCGTGGTCTTACACATTAGGCCACAGTTCTTATGTTCGTCCACTAACATTCATATAACTCTTGTAATTGTTGGTATGAGTAGTAATATTAATTCTTTTAAGCTAATCTTGGATATTATACATTAGTCCAAGCATCAGAGAGTGCTTCAACATTTTTTGTCTATGATCATCATACAAGATTCTTTTCCCTGGTACAGCTCTTAATTATATTGACTATAAGAAGCGCAGGTTCCAGTCAACTGATGCATGAGCCTCCCAAATTTATTAATTAGCAAAAACGCTTTCTAGAAAAACATCTATATCACTTGGCTAGTAGAAAAACTGGCTAACTGCCGCTCACTTGCAACTTTGCAAGCTGCAACAATGAGAGAAAAGTACCTTTCCTTGAATGAAAAGTACTTGTGAAATTGAGTCGGAACGAATGTTTTGAATGTTTCACAGCAAAGTCTGAACATCAAGTTTGCGACCTGGCCATAAACCCTGCTGGATTTGTCTTGAGAAAAAACCACTTATCATCTCCTCAACCATGATCATCTCCCCTATTGCAGATCACCTTTTTCATGAAATAATGCATGTGATAAGTTTTTAGGAACAGAAAAGTCTAACCAAGAGCCAAATGCACAAGATGAGGCAGAAAATGAGAATAAGAAACACAACATGCTATATGATCTACAAACCCACATGTACGTTTACAATTTACATATATCAAGGGAAGGTCAAGAGTAAGATCAGTTGACGATATAGGTGAATGCCACATTAGAATATTGTGTGACAATATAGGTGAATAACATCAACAATTCGTCTAAATGTTTACAATTTACATATAGGTTACATCAACAATTCGTCTAAATAATGCAATTCATATAGATGTAATGTCACCATATTATTTAGTAACTATAAAAATTTATACCTTCAGTTAACATATATAGACCTTTGATTTGAAAATAATAATAAAAAATTGTCAAAAATTTACTTGAATGAAGGATTTTAATAAGGGAAAATTTTCGAATATGAGTAAATAAGTTTGAGAATTCCAAAATAAGATTATCATATTTTTATTGCCAAAATAGGCGTAATTAATGTCAAGCTTGAAAAATATTGTCATGCTTAAGGTCCAATTTTGGAATACATAATTTTTTTGTCCTATTTAGTGTAATTTCCCTTTTAACAAGGGTTAATGCTAGACATAAGGTACAAAGAAGTGTTTCATAAAATTTGCCATGAAATGTAATTTGTTTTCAAATGATGTTTATATTGTGTGTTACTTACTATTTTGTGGGCTATAAAAAATAATGTACTACTCTGTAATCATTAGTAAATTGTATTTTATATGTTTCATTCACGTCAAGTTTTATTATTGTATGGAGTATAATTCCAAACAATTCAATTAAGATTACAAGTTTTTTTATTTTTTAATTAAAATGTTGGCTAATCTTAATTATACCCGCAAAATTTCACCAATCGTGCATCGCACGGGTATTGATGAAGAAGAAGGAACCACTCAGAATGTTTTATTCTAAAAGTGTTTAACAATATATAGGGTTACATGCAATGTATATTTACAATGTTATGGTTTATAAGTATTTGTTGGATGTTTTTGATCTTTTAAGTAATGCTTATTGCTCTCTTTTTAACTATAATATATATTATAAGTGTGTTTTGTTTATTGCTTGCAGTTAATCAATATTCCATGGAAATAGATGCTCTCATCAATTGATAGTTAATTTGAATTAGTGAGAACAAATAAATTTGAAGGAAAATTCTCTGACCGTGCATCGCACGGGTGAGTTTACTAGTTGACTATAAGAAGCGCAGGTTCCAGTCAACTGATGCATGAGCCTCCCAAATTTATTAATTAGCAAAAACGCTTTCTAGAAAAACATCTATATCACTTGGCTAGTAGAAAAACTGGCTAACTGCCGCTCACTTGCAACTTTGCAAGCTGCAACAACGAGAGAAAAGTACCTTTCCTTGAATGAAAAGTACTTGTGAAATTGAGTCGGAACGGATGTTTTGAATGTTTCACAGCAAAGTCTGAACATCAAGTTTGCGACCTGGCCATAAACCCTGCTGGATTTGTCTTGAGAAAAAACCACTTATCATCTCCTCAACCATGATCATCTCCCCTATTGCAGATCACCTTTTTCATGAAATAATGCATGTGATAAGTTTTTAGGAACAGAAAAGTCTAACCAAGAGCCAAATGCACAAGATGAGGCAGAAAATGAGAATAAGAAACACAACATGCTATATGATCTACAGACCCACATGTACGTTTACAATTTACATATATCAAGGGAAGGTCAAGAGTAAGATCAGTTGACGATATAGGTGAATGCCACATTAGAATATTGTGTGACAATATAGGTGAATAACATCCTCAGCACTGTAGCATTTTTGAATAGATAGGCTCACTATAGAATGAGCATATCTTACAAGCACACTTGAGAGACCTATGGTCAGTTTTATATGCTCATGGACGAACATATATGCAAACATTTACACTTGTAAGATTGGAGATATGTCTTATTTCCAACATAAGACCAGATAGACGGGAATGTTGATGTGAAGCATCATAGCTTGATAATGTGAAAGAGAGATTAAAAAAAGTATATAATTTGAATAGGCTCTCTCCCGAAGACTGGGTATATGGACTGCAATTTTGGTGGAGGCGGAAATAGTAATAACAGCGGGATTACCCTTGATGGCAAGGAAATACAGGTGTGTGATATGTTCCGTTACTTGGGCTCTATAATTCAGAAAGATGATGAATTAGATGGAGATATATCTCATAGAATCAGAGCAGAGTGGATGAAGTGGAAGAGTGCATCAAAATTTCTATGTGATCGAGCCATCGAGGTATGCCGATTAGACTGAAGGGTAAATTTTATCAGGCAACAATTGGACCTGCACTAATGTATGGCGTAGAGTGTTGGACGGTGAAATAATGTCACATTCAAAATATGAGTGTGGCAGAGATGCGTATGTTACGTTGGATGTGTGGACATATTAGAAGAGACCGCTTGAGGAATGAGATAATTAGATAAATAGAAAATGCTCAATATAGGACTAAAACATACACAAAATTCAAAAATAAGACTAAGTATTCCTATTCCCTAAATAGGACTTATTTGGTCCTAATAAAAGAATAATTTGATTAAAACTTCCCAAAATAGGAGTGAATGAGTCCTATTTTGGGAATAAAACATTGATAGTCTTATTTATGAACTTTATTCATGTTTTAGTCCTATTTAGTGAATTTTCTGTTAGATAAAAGGTTGGAGTAGCACGTATTGAAGATAAGATGCAAGAGTCTCGATTGCGGTGGTTTGGTCATGTGTGTAGAAGACCGAGTGGTGCACCTGTAAGACGAGTTGAGAGGTGGAGTGAAGAGTCGGGTAGGAGGGGGAGGGGAACACCCAAACAAACTTGGATTAGAGGAATCATAACTGATATGCTTCTTCTTGGGTTGGATGAGAGTATGGCTTTGGAGAGAGCAAAGTGGAGGGTGCATATACATGTGGACGATTGATCTCTTCTCTTCTTTTATCTCTTTTATCTTTTATTTATCTTGTGTTCTTATGTTATTTTTGTCCTTTTTTTTCCTTATCTTTCTTCTCTTTTTATTTTTCTTATCTTTCTTCTCTTTTTGGCTCTGATATCATGGATTGATTCATGTTAGCCGACACCAAAATCTTTATGGGATTAAGGCTTGGATATTGTTCCTGTTGTTGGGCTCTCTCCTGAAGAGTTGGGGAGTATCTCTTTATTTACTAAAGGCAATTCTTGTCATGTATACTCCTCTCCACAAGTGGTCCCCAGTAAATTTTGGCCATGTGATCGGCTACCCAGCCGCCGCCAGCTGCTGCTGACTGCCGTCTCCAGTAAACTTTACGGGCAATCTTCCCAATACAAGGCATTTCCATATTGTGCTTATTTTATACTTTTATGTTTTGGGTCACATAAATGATGACTGATTGATCGATTTATGTTTTGGGTCACATATAATGTCACTGTCTGCCATCTTAGTTTTAGGTGAACTTTTGCTGCAACTTTCCCTCCAAAATAATCTTTTTTTGTTAAACCATGTGATCTCGGCTTCATTTCGTTAGACTAATACTGTGCTCCCCAGAACCCACCCCAAACCCTTCAGAGAAGTAAATTTTAGTCGCTCGAACAACCCACTAGGTTCCCAACACCTATCTATACACCACTGTACACAAGAAACCTGTCTTAACTGATTGATCTCGTGTCTCCTTAGGTTCCTAGCACAGCTCCAAGGAAAACCGCCACCGATTGGTCAAACACTGTCAGTTCCTAGCTTGAGGGGATATATAGGACATATTATGCGACCACTCAAGCTAGCTTGGGGGGCTAGAGGATCATCATTTTAGAAGAGCCTCCCTAATTAACTTGGTGACTTGAATCCATGACCTACTACACGTGGAGGATCTCAAGTGTGGGAATTGATCCACTCTGACCGCTCCCACTTTTCCTAAAATCCTCTTTTTTTTAGTACATGTGGCTGTTTGAGCTACTTCTATTCTCTATGATCGAAGCCTTTGGCCCAGATTCCAAGATTTCCCTCAAGCGCCCTGTATTGCTGCGGTTTGCAAGTTCCAACCAAAGGTTTCAGATGTGGGGTCGCCTTTTTTCCCAATCTTGGATCTTTATCATTGAGAATAAACTGTCAATTTATGCTATTTCACATTACCAATATTTCACTGTGTTGAAATATAAACTACAAAATATAATATTGAAGAGAGGAGGAAAGATTTTCTGTGTATTTCATTGGAGGGTTAAGTCCCTATAAATATACATTACAAAGATAGAATATTCCTATAAGATTCTATACAATAATAATATCCTAGAGTATATTCCTAAAATATTCTAAAGTATATTCTAAGGATAGAAGAATATTCTAAAGTATATTCTAAAGTATATTCTAATGTCTTTCACACTCCCCCTCAAGTTGGAGCATAGATATTTATCATGCCCAACTTGTTACATAAATAACCAACACGAATTCCATTTAATGCTTTAGTGAACAAATCTCCAAGTTGCTCTCCAGTCTTCACATATCCTGTAGAGATCAATCCTTGTTGTATCTTTTCTCGAACAAAGTGACAATCGACCTCAATATGTTTTGTTCTCTCATGAAACACTGGGTTGTTGGCAATGTGTATAGCAGCTTGGTTATCACACCAGAGTTTAGCAGGCATTGGTGTCTTCAATCCGATTTCACTCAGCAAATGGTTTATCCAGATTATCTCACATGCTGATTGTGCCATAGCCCGATATTCTGATTCAGCACTCGAACGAGAAACCACATTTTGCTTCTTACTTTTCCAAGAGACGAGATTACCACCAACAAAGACGCAATAGCCAGATGTGGATCTCCTATCATCTTTAGATCCAGCCCAATCAGCATCTGCAAAGCATTCTATTCTCATGTGATCATGATTTTGGTAAACAATACCTCGTCCTGGTGTCCCCTTCAAGTAACATAATATATGCTCTACTGCATTCCAATGATCAACTGTCGGAGATGACATATATTGACTCACTACGCTCACAGAGTAAGCAATGTCTGGACGAGTGACTGCGAGATAGTTAAGCTTTCCAACCAATCTTCTGTACCTTTCTGGGTCTTCGAATGGTATGCCTTCTGAAGTGAGTTGCACATTGGGAACCATGGGAGTTGTGTTTGGCTTTGCTCCCAATTTCCCCGTTTCAGTTAGTAAATCAAGTACATATTTACGCTGAGATAGAAATATGCCTTTCTTACTCCGTGTTACCTCAATACCCAGAAAGTATTTCAATGAGCCTAGGTCTTTTGTTTGGAATTGGCTATGAAGAAAATTCTTAAGGGCCAAAATACCTGCGGTATCACTTCCTGTAATCACAATATCATCGACATACACCACAAGCAATGTGATACCTGCTTTCGTTTTTCTGTAAAAGACAGAGTGATCTGATTGACCTTTTATCATTCCAAACCGTTCAATGGATTGACTGAATTTCCCAAACCATGCACGAGGACTCTGTTTCAGACCATAAAGAGATTTGCGAAGTCGACAAACTTTCCCATACTCCCCCTGAGCAACAAATCCCGGAGGTTGCTCCATATAAACTTCCTCCTGAAGGTCACCATGTAAGAATGCATTTTTAATGTCCAACTGGTGTAAGTGCCAATCATGAGTTGCAGCGAGTGAGATAAGTAACCTGACAGATGTTAATTTAGCAACAAGAGAAAAAGTGTCAGAATAATCAACACCATAGGTTTGAGCATAACCCTTTGCAACCAATCGAGCTTTCAATCGAGCAACAGATCCATCTGGATTAACCTTAACAGCAAAGACCCACTTACATCCAATAGACTTCTTCCCTGAAGGCAAGTATACCAAATCCCAAGTACCATTAAGATCCAAAGCATTCATTTCCTCTACCATGGCATGTCGCCATTCAGGATGAGACAAAGCTTCTTTAACAGATTTGGGAACAGAAATAGAATCAATGGAAGCAACAAAAGAACATGAGGCAGGAGATAACTGACTGTATGACACAAATGAGGAAATAGGATGAGTACAAGACCGTGTACCTTTACGTAGTGCTATCGGGAGGTCAAGATCAGATGTAGAGACAAGATCTGAAGATGCAGGTACTGGTTCAGGACATGAGATCGAAGTCGGACCAGTATCAGGATATGTAATCACAGGTGTCACAGGTGGGGAGTGATCTTGTGCTTTGTGTCGACGGGTGTAAACCAAGTGTACAGGAGGTCTAGGGTCAGGAACAGTGACATTCGACATAGTTACTGAAGGTGTGGTCTCAGGTATAGTAACTGTGTAAATGAGTATTTCATCGTTGTCCTCATGAATATCTGTCTTGGATGATGAAAATGGTGTATTTTCATGAAATGAGACATCAATAGAAATAAGATATCGACCTGTACTTGGACAAAAACATCTATACCCCTTTTGAACTCGAGAATAACCCAAGAAAATACATTTCAATGACTTGGGGTCCAATTTCGTCCGATGAGGGTTAACATCTCTAACAAAACAAGTGCAACCAAATATTTTAGGTGGAATAGGAAAAAGTTCTTTATTTGGAAAAAGACATTGATAAGGAGTTTTACCATCCAAAACAGAAGATGGCATACGATTGATCAAAAAACATGAAGTAGACACAGCGTCAGCCCAAAACTGTTTAGGCACATTCATTTGGAATAGAAGAGCCCTTGCAGTTTCTAACAGATGTCGATTCTTTCTTTCAGCAACTCCATTTTGAGGAGGTGTGTCTACGCATGAAGTTTGATGAATAATGCCATGTTGAAGCATAAAAGATTTAAATGGAGCAGATAAATATTCTTGGGCATTGTCTCCCCTTAACACACGAACAGGAACATTAAATTGAGTTTTAATTTCAGCACAAAATGCAGAGAAATGAGTAAATAACTCGGATCGGCGCTTCATAAAATACACCCATGTCATACGAGAATAATCGTCAACAAAAGTGACAAAATATTTGAAACCAGGTTTGGACACAACTGGACATGCCCCCCAAACATCAGTATGGACAAGATCAAACGGAGCATTTGCTCGTTTATTAAGTCGGGGACTTAAACTAGTGCGATGATGTTTAGCAAACTCACACGACTCACATTGTATAGAAGACACCTTATTAAACTGAGGATATAATTGCTTCATTAGTGAGAGAGATGGATGTCCTAATCGGTAATGAGCTTCTAATAGATTTCCAACCCCAAGGCAAGAGATACCTTTTGTAATTGATGTATCCAAAATATAAAGACCACCCGACTCATGTCCTTGACCAATAGTATGCTTCGTTAACAGATCCTGAAACACACAATATCCCGGAAAAAATGTTACAGAACAATTAAGAGTACGTGTGATTTTACTGATGGAAAGCAGATTAAATGCAAAATTAGGAAGACTCAAAACAGACGATAATGGTAATGTAGAAGTTGGTACAACAGTACCAGATCCAAGAACGGGTGAGGTAGACCCGTCTGCTAAAGTGACACTGGAAGCAGGTAAATGTGAGTGAAATGATGAGAATAGACTAGGATTACCAGTCATATGATCTGTGGCACCTGAGTCAATGACCCATTTTGAGGATGATGAAACAAGACATGTGTTTGAAATACCTGAATTTGCGACTACCGAGATAGGGATAGATGAATGCTTTAGAGATTCTTGGTAGCAAATAAATTTAGCATACTCGTCTGAAGAAATAGCAATTGATCCATCAAATGAACTCGTAGCGGAAGCAACATGAGCAAGCTGATTTCCTTGATTTTTGAACAGCAACTTTCTACATTCTTTGAGCAAGTGCCCGGGCTTCTTGCAGTAATGGCATATTACTCCTCTGCCAAATGGACCCGTAAAAGACATTCTTTTTTTCTTTTTTTTTTTTTTGATTTTTTTTTTTTTTTTGATTTTTTTTTTTGATTTTTTTTTTACTTTTTTTTTTTGAGAATAAATAAATAAATACAGCTAATTAAGACTTACCAGCCGCAGCTCAATAGATGGTTGGCGAGGTCTGGGTTTCTGACTTACCAGCTAATGATAGTGGCGACTCCAAAAATATAACGCAGCCCCTTTCTAATTCGAGTTAGTTCACCTAGTCTCAAATCCCAACCTTTCTCAACAGTCTGCGTCGCCAACCTCAAGAAGACCGTGGATCCAAAAGCTCGCAGATCGGAAAAATGGATTTGCCTGGCAGAGATGGCGATTTCCGATTAGAAATCCGGTCAGCTATGAAGCTTCACTCGCCGGCGCGTGCGGCAGCCGAGAAAGTCTTCGGCGGCGCGTGTGACTGACGCGCGAAGCTTTGCCGGTGCGGACTCCAAAGACGTGGTCGGCGGCGGCAAGTGCAATTGGTTAGGACGGAGGTGAGAAATAGGACGGTGTTGGTCTGGACAGAGGTTCTGTTTAATGGTGTGTAGAGGTTCTGTAGGCAGAATGGTGTGTAAGGTTCTGAAAATGGTGTGTAAGGTTCTGAAGTTAACTCAAGTTCTTGGAGAAAGAACCCAGCCTGAATACTGAACTGAAGTCAGCCTGAATAAAGAACTGAAATCTGAAAAACTAAACTGAAATGGAAGGCTCTGATACCATGTTGAAATATAAACTACAAAATATAATATTGAAGAGAGGAGGAAAGATTTTCTGTGTATTTCATTGGAGGGTTAAGTCCCTATAAATATACATTACAAAGATAGAATATTCCTATAAGATTCTATACAATAATAATATCCTAGAGTATATTCCTAAAATATTCTAAAGTATATTCTAAGGATAGAAGAATATTCTAAAGTATATTCTAAAGTATATTCTAATGTCTTTCACACACTGTAACAAGCTTAGAACCTTTAGTAAGCTTCAGCTTGATAGGGAGTGTTGAATATTATAATAGTGTGTAATGTGTAGTTTGTCCATTTACTTTTCCTATAAATAGGTTGTAAGATATCATCAACATCCATCAACGTAATCACAAAACTCTTCTCTATCTTCACATTTTGTAACCCGGCGTTTGGGGAAGATCATATGTAGATGCATTACTATTAAAAACATTAATGTTGTTGATTGGTTCATATTTTAACAAGCCACAAAGAGCTTCTAAAATAGAATACCGTTTAACAAGCTCAGGACAAATGATTTATATGCTCTAGCTTGGGCGGGAGTGTGGGACGTGTCTTATTATGTACTTGCACACACACATATGTATGTATGTGTGTGTGTGTGTGTGTGGTGTGTGTGTGTGTGCGCGCGCGCGCGCGTGCGTGCATGCTCGTGACTACATTCTTAACAAACAATATTACAATACCACATTATTGTTCATGGGAAAAAGCCCTGTTGACATGACGGCAATAAGTGGCAGCCTTTAATTTGTCTTTTCCCTTTTTTAAGATTGTTTTTCAGTTTTCACCTTGTAGATAATCTAAAACACCCCGTTGTATAAGTTTTTACTTACACTTAATATTGAGCTGACATGTGTCTGCAACTTTAAATTCCAAACAGATTAATTTACTTGATTCTAAGGAGCTTCAACAAAAAGTGAAACTGTACCTTGTAAATCGCGGTCCACCAGAGAATTGGGCACAAACTGTACCTTTCAAGCGTGCTGACTTGCAGAAAGCTCTTGGAAGTCATCTCTCTTGGAAGGAGAGGTATTGTCATGAGACTAAGACATGCTTTTTAAAAATAGATCCTCCATTTTATTCACGCTTATAGTAAACAATATGTTATTGTTACATATTAGAGTTGTACGCGTTGTGTGAATATATGTGTTTTCCAATGCGTGTGGATAGAGTTGTGATATTTCTTGTATTATTTATTTATTTACTTTATTTACAGATGAATGTGTTTCCTAATTTGTGTTTACGAATGATTATGATGTGTTTGTTTGATTGTTTGATGTTTATTTTGACCATATAAGTATGTAATCCTTGAGCACTTGCTTATTTTATGCTGTCAGGTATCCAACATTCTTTGATGACATTGCGGCACGCTTGCTTCCAGTCATCCCCCTAATCATCTATAGATTTATTGAAAATGATGCTATGGATGCAGCTGATAGAGTCCTGCAAATTTATGCTTCCTTTCTCCATTACTATCCTCTAAATTTTACATTTGTTCGCGATATTCTTGCATATTTTTACGGCCATCTTCCTGGGAAGCTAATACTTCGTATATTAAATGTGTTGGGTAAAAAGGTAATAATGAATTCTGTGATCGTTTTGGGTCATTCTTTGCTAGCTTCGTTGTCACATCTGTGATTGTTCGGATTACACTTCCTCTCAGGTTCCTTTTTCTGAGCCATTTCTTCAGCACATTAACTCAACTAATGCATCAATGTGCCCTCCATTGGATTACTTTGCCACCCTTTTATTGGGTTTGGTAAATCATGTTATTCCTCCTCTAATTAGCTCATCCAGATCTCCACAAGCGGGAGATGTCTCAAGCAGCTTTGGCCGTGCTCCACCTACCAAGGTACATTTAAGTTCTCAACCTGGATTAACAAATACTTGTGAAGGCCAGAAACCTTTTTACCAACTTCAAGACCCTGGGACGTACACCCAACTGGTGCTTGAAACAGCCGTAGTTGAGATACTCTCTTTTCCTGTTTCTGCATCCCAAATTGTTTCTTCACTCGTTCAAATTGTTCTTCATATACAACCAACACTTGTTCAATCAAGCAATGGCCTACATGGAACTCCTAGCAATGTTGGACAGTGCTCACTTTTGCCTACTTCTCCCTCTGGAGGGAGCACTGATTCACTTGGTGCTACCAGGGCAGCCTCTTCTGTTCCTGGTACAAATGCTTCTGTTTTTGTGTGGCGAACTGGTTATACATGCCAGCAGTTATCGTGCTTGTTGATCCAAGCATGTGGTCTTCTTTTAGCTCAACTCCCTCCAGAGTTTCATGTGCAACTATATTTAGAGGCTGCACGTGTGATAAAAGAGAGTTGGTGGCTCACTGATGGACAAAGGTCTGTTGGTGAACTAGAATCTGCTCTTAGCTATGCACTTTTAGATCCCACATGGGCTGCCCAGGATAATACTTCAACAACCATTGGTATGTGGCCTTGTGAACCCTATATTGATTAACACTATGATACTTGGTTTACTATCGCTTCTCAATTATGGACCCTTTTCTTCCCCTTCCATGCTGTGAAGTTTGTATAAATTTGCTTTTGTCATTTTATACATGTTAATGTTAAATAGATATGAGCATGTCTATAATCAGAATTTGAAACGGCATTATGGTATGTGAACTTTAAAGTTTGTAGAAGAATGAATTATATTTCAGATGAACTCGTATTTTTTAAAAGAAAAATTAACTGCATTTCCCAGATATACTCAATGATAGCTCATGTGGGAAATTATTTCATGTACTTGTTTACTCTTCATGCATTTGTTTTTGTTTGCCATGTACTTGTTAACAGTCCATGTACTTGTTTACAGGTTCGACATAGGCTTTTCATTATTCATACTTTAAGTCCCAAGACTTTGCGTGTCTTGCTTATCTAGAGTGATAGGGAGTAAAACGAAAGGGGGAAAGAAAGACAATATTTTATAAAACTAAAATGAAGAAAGAAATGTGTTGAAGGTAGAAAGAAAAGAACATGAAATACCTAAAGTATTCCCCAACAAGTCTAGCTTGCCAAACAGCCTAAGGCTGTCCAACTCTAGAGACTTGATTCAAATCTCTCAATGCCTCCTAAGCTAAAGGAAGCCATATTTATAACCTATGACAATATTGAAATTAGGTAAAATATAATTAATAATCAATTATTCCTTATATCATGCTAATCATGATCTATTGCTAGAATCTTTCAATTAAAAAAATGATTCATTATGATGCTTTGATTGATTCTCTGGTTTGCCTTGATTGGTTCTTTGATTTCTTCCCTTCTGTGGAGGGTTTCCTTGATTTTCTCTACCTCTACTATTGCCAGCGACTCCAAAATAATCTTGTCCCCAAGGCTGGAGGTCATTGATTGCCACAAAAGTTTAGATATCAATCAACAACTTCCAAGCCTTAATCCCAAAAGATTCTAAGGTTGGCTAACTTGAATCGGATATCGGAGCCAAAAAGAAAAGAAATATAAGAAAGATAAACAGATAAAGTAAGATAAAAAGGATAACATAAAGATACATAAATATAAGATAAAGATAAAAATGATAAGATACAAAGGATAAAAAGAACATATATAAAACAAAAATTCTAAAGGGATAAACAACATAAGAAAGATAAAGAAGATAAAAAGATAAGAGAAAAGAGAGAGAAAAAAGAGAGAAAAGATCAATCCTCTGCACAAATATTTGCCTTCCACTTCATTCTCTCGAAAGTCGTACTCCCATCCAACCCAAGAAGAAGCATATCACTCCCGATTCCTCTAATCCAAGTATGTTTGAGTCTTCCCCTCCCTTTCCTCCACGCCTCTTCTCACCTCCTCTCAACTCGTCTTCGATGCACATGGCCAAATCACCGTAATCGAGACTCCTGCATCTTACTCTCACCTTTTGTCAGATTATCTCATTCCTCAATGATCTCTACTCGTATGTCCGCACATCCAACACAATATGCACATCTTTGCCACACTCATCTTTTGGATGTGACATTGTTTCACCGTCCAACACTCTATGTACCTATGTTGTACAGTAATGCGAACCTAATTGTTATATGATAAATTTTACCTTTTAGTCTATTCGGCATATCTTGATCACATAGAAATCATAATGCACTCTTCCATTTCATCCACCCTGCTATGATTTTATGGGATACATCTTCATCGAGTTCACCATCCTTTTAAATTATGGAGTATAAGTAACGGAACATATCACAGACCAGTATCTCCTTGCCATCAGGGGTAATCTCAGTGTAACAACTACTTCTACCTCCACCAAACTTGCATTCCATATGCTCAGTTTTGCTTCGACTCAGTGTGAAATCCTTGATCTCCAATATTTGTCTTCATACTTTCAACTTTGCTTTTACAATCGATTGTGTTTCATTAATCAATACTAATAATACTCTTCCGCTAATTCATTTCCATTTTGTTGTTTCTCTAAATCATGTTCAAGAAATGTGTTTCTTCAAGCCTCGATCGGTATGCCATCTAGACACACTACTTTCTTCCGTCCCATGTTTCTCAGAACCTCTTTAACTTCTGTCATTTGAATCCTTCTCACGAAATCATGATTTACCATACAATCTGGTATAGTAAGATTATCAATACCTTGCATTTTATTCCCATTGAACAAAGTATCAAAGTATCACCTCCACCTCTCTTTTTATTTTCCCGCCCTCCATTAGTATCCTTTGATCGACATCTTTCACACTTAACTTTTCCGATATCTCGAATCTTATGATCATGATGATTAGCAAATCTGTAAATATATTTTTCTCCTTCTTTAGAGTCCAATTTTACATATAACTCCTTATTCACTTTCCCTCTTGCTTGCTTTATGACTTTCCTTGCTTTTCTTTTAGCCTCCTTGTTCACTTCCCTCTTGCTTCCTTTACGGCTTTCTTTGCTTTTCTTTGGTTTTCAACACACCAACTTATGCCAAACTTTTTGTAGCATTTCCTTTTGTTCTTTATGGATTGTTGCACCTCATTATTCCACCAAGATGTGTCCTTTTTTTGGTAGCAGACATTGTTTAGATTCTCTAAGTATTTCCTTCGTCGCTTTGTTAATGACCAACTCCATTAATAACCGCACATCACCCACATATGCGTCATTGTCAATACACCATACATCTTCCTCTAACGTTTTGTGTGCACTGTGCAAAGCTTTGTTGGAGATCCCTTCGAGTTTCCACCATTTTATCTTGGACTTCACTTGTTGCTTAACTTGTCTTCCTTGAAATCAAGCACAAACATCCTATGTTGAGTGACAACACACTCACCTGAGATAACCATAGAATTAGTGTAGTTTGTTCTCCAAGTAATCCGTACTAAATAGTCAATTTGGGTACTATTAGCTACACTTCTATAGGCCACAAGGTGATAGTCTTTTCTTGAATCAAACTTTCATTATAGCCAACTCATAAACAACAACAACAACAACATCCAAACCTTAGTCCCAAAAGATTTTGGGGTCGGCTAACATGAGCCTATACATGATATCATAATAAAAAATAAAAGAGAGATAAGCTATGATAAAAAGATAATATAAAAAGAGATGGACATACATAAAAATGATAGAATTAAAAGGATAAAACAACAAGAAAGAAAAGAAACATAAGTGGGGAAAGATGATAAGAGATAACTCCTACACATGAATACCCACCCTCCCTTTTGCTCTCTCCAAAGCCATATACACAACTCATAAGTCGAAGCAAAATCCAAAATGTTCTTTCTCACTTCATTCTAGTGCCAAAACCATGCCCGCCATAGATACTCTCAAAACCATCATGAATTGGGCCCACATGCCCGTTGAGATCGCCCCCTTGGCACTCGTCGCATCACTTCCTTGAGATTTGTTTAGAGTTGTTGAGTGATAGATGCATCCAATCCCACTTTGGTGCATAGGCGCTTATAACGAACATGATCTCACCCCTCTGGGATTGGTCTCAGGTATCTTTTCTTACCCACTTAGTTTCGTGTGCACACATTGTGCTGATATTCCTCCACCTTATAACCTCAACTGCCTCAAAGAGAGACCCAATATTTCATGTCCCAAAGCACAATCTAGCACCCTACCTTCTATTCTTAACACCACATTGACCCCCACCATGCCCTTGCATATTTGACACCATCCCCAGGCATTGAGTGGAACGCCGCTTTCGGGCAATGACCTGGTAACCTTAGGATTTGAAGCGATGATGAAGATGTGGTGTCGGAGGTGCCAATTTCAGTGAAAGAACAGTAGGTGAAGGAAGTGGAGTCACAGTGTAAAAAAATGGAACGAGTGGTGGTGGAGGTGGTGATATTGGTGTTGGTGATGGAGGCTTTAACAGTGAATCTCGGAAAGCAATCATTATGATTTCCACATTAGCAAATTCTGTACTTGAGGTACAACATCCAACATAGAGACCTTTTTGCGTGAAATGCATATTTATTTGGTTATCATTGCATCCAGAATGAAATCAAACCACATCATTTAGTATTTGAAGGTAATGACTGGGTTTTGAGTCAAAAAGAGTTCGTGTAAATCAGAATCACCTATGGAATGCTACAAAATGATGTATCGATACAAATAGAGTTCAATGTACCATTTATGTCCCCAGGCGGGGAAAATTGTTGAAACCTGTTGTTATTTTGACTGATTTTTTCTAGGCATGTTTTTGCCATTCTCCCCAAAAAAACACAGTAAATGTAAAACAATAGGACAAGAATAGGCAGGTCAAACCAATGTGAAGGGGTAAGGGGATAAATAATGTAGAAAGATATTTTATAAAACTGAAATAAAAGTGAAGAAATAAACATGTGGAAGGTAGAAAGAGAAGAGCATGAAATTCCCGAAGGTATTCCCCCAGCAAGACTAGCTTTCCAAACAGCCTAAGGCTAAAAGTGTCTCGATTCTACAAATCTCTAAATGCTTCCTATGCTAAAGGAAGAAATTATTTAAGCCTATGACAATGTTTAAATAAGGTAAAGTATAATTAATAATCATGCTAATCATTATTTATTGCTTGATTCTTTCATTTAAGAAAATATAATTCATTATGATCCTTTGATTAATTCTTTAATTTCTTTCCTTCCGTTGAGGTTTTCCGTGATTTTCTCTACTTCTACCATAAAGCTTAGTGAAAGTGATTTTCGAAGCCTTAGAGTGTGAAGCTTCATGGAAGAGAAAGAAAAACAACTTCTTAATTCTTATCTGAATTTTAAAGAATATATTTCCAATAACTGACCTTTTTCCTTTTGAGAGTGTAAAAATAGTGTAGTTCAAACAATCAATTTGTTCTCTACGTGATATTTTTCCCCTTTTAGGTAATATTGTTGCACTCCTACATGCGTTCTTCAGTAACCTTCCACAGGAATGGCTTGAGGGAGCACATCTCATTATTAAACATTTGAGACCTGTGACGTCTGTGGCTGTGCTGAGGATATCCTTTCGTATTATGGGTCCTTTACTACCTCGATTGACAAATGCTCATCCTCTTTTCAATAAGGTGTGGATTCTCCTCTTCTTCAATTTTTATTTTTGTCTGCTTTTTTGTATGGTTTCCTAAAGATGAAGGTAGATTTATTACTTATTAGGTTTGCAAACAAAGGTGCTCCCAATTAAGCTGTTCTAGTGATGGGTATATGTTTCAGTGTTTAACAAGCTTGGTGCATATGATTTATATGCTCCGGAGTCCGTATTAATTGTTTTCCCATTTTATATATCCTTGTTTATAAATAGGGATTTGACTTTGATATATTTGTACATTTTATTTTCATCTCACATCATAATCTACACATTTTATTGCATGCTTATTAATACTTCAATCCAGACTAGCTGTTCATTATGAATGTTTGACTCGTCCAAATTAAGCTTTCACCACATGGGTCCAAACTCATCACAAATAATAATGAATTATTGTTCTTTATGATTTTAAACCATGAATAAATGTTACGTATATTATTCTAAAGCAAATAAAATTGCACTCTTCATCCGAAACATATCTGGTTAGTCAGTTTTTATAAAGTCGTCTGTTACGTTGTTACATTGTTGTGTTTTAACATATATTACTTCACAATTTGGGAACTACAAATGCAATCAGCCCTCCATGTGCATTGTTTCTTAAATCTGACAATCAGTTTCACTGTGTTCTAAGAATTACTCCCTCCGTCCCATTGGATTTTGCCAAGTTTTCCTTTTTGGTTGACCCAAAAAACTTTGGCACTTTCCCGTTAAAGCAACTTTCCCGTTAAAGCAACTAATTTGTGGTTCTGCACATTTCTCTCTCCTCTGCACAAATCTCAACCACATAGTTTTTACTATTCTTATTTCTCACCTACTTTGCACTTGGCAAAGTCCACCTGGATGGAGGTAGTATAATATTTCAATGTTCAATAAACTATGCTATATCTTACTCTTCACATTTATTTGCATTTTACTTAAAGGAGAGAACCCAAAGGAAGAGTTTCCTGAAACTATCACATTGCATGCCACCAATTACATGCTTTTTTCTATGTAAAGACTGAGCTTAATCATGGCCAGTTGCTTGAAAGCAGTGGCGGAACGTGGGGGGGAGCCTGTGCCGCCCCCCCCGTTCTCCGGTGGCGGTAGTGTATATATATAGGGAGCGGTTCCGATATGAACGGACTCCCATGAGAGAAATGAGAACGAATCTGGACCGTTGGATTGTATTATGTGGAACTGAATTGTGCATTTGGTGAAACTGAAATGTGCATTAGATGATATTGAAATGTGCAGAATAAAAATTTAAACTCAAGTGTGCATTAGGTGAAACTGAAATGTGCGGAATAAAATGTACAAAAATAACATCACATCATACCGTTCATTCTTCACATTTTAGTTTCACCTATTGCACATTTTGATTTCACATAATGCACAATTCAGCTTCACAAAATGTCACTATATCGTATCCTTTGTGCTGCACATTTCAATTTCACCTAATGCACACTATAGTTTCATCTAATGCACATCGAATTTCACTTAAAGCAAATCTAACGGTCCAAATTCGTTCTCATTTCTCTTCTAAGATCATGTTCTTATTTGAACCAAAACCTATATATATATATATATATATATATATATATATAGAGAGAGAGAGAGAGAGAGAGAGAGAGTAATGATCCTGTCCAGCAATTTTCTGTCCGAATAGTGTCCGAACATAGACATTTGGGGCACTTCCCGGTGGAATTTTTTGATGAAATTTTTTGAGCACGTTCCTCACCAAGTCTAGTTTGTCCATACCAAATTTCAGCTCAAAATTCGATCGGGAAGGCAGTCAAATCATTTTTTTAAAGTTGACTGCGCCAAAATATATATATAAAAACACAGTCAACTTCAAAAAATGATTTGAATGTCTTCCCGATCGAATTTTGAGCTGAAATTTGGTATGGACAAACTAGACTTGGTGAGGAACATGCTCAAAAAAATTCATCAAAAAATTCCACCGGGAAGGGTCCGAAATGCCCTCAGCCGGACGGCAGTTCCTGTCAGGCCGGCTGGACAGGAATTGGACTATATATATTAATACATACATACATACAAGTTTCAATAAAAAGAGTTCTTCTCATGAAAATTGACAAAAAATAGTGTATTAAACTTAAGATCTAATGACTCAAAATCAGTCCACAATGCACTACATTTTATAAAAAACGCGTTGACAATTTGATAAATTAATCAATTTTTTCTCTCATTGTGAAAAAGTGCAAAAACAATATCTACTAGTGCACCAGAATGAGTAAAGAGTGCACTAGTTCGCATTTTTGACGTGACTAACTCTTTTTATTGGAATCACACTATATGTATTTGATGATTATTTTTCACTCGTTTTTCTTTTATAAAATTTGTTTTGTAAGAAAATTTATATATATCATAGCACCCCCTCAAATTATTCTCTTGTTCCGCCACTGCTTGAAAGGATAGAAAAGAATCAAAAGTGATCATACTTTGTACAAACCAACTGGTTTTTTAATTCAAAGATGATGATGTTCTGTTATCTTATGCTACCCTAATTGGTGGTTATCTTCTGTGTCAGACACTGTCACTGCTTTTAAATGTACTGGTGGATGTCTTTGGGAGGAGCACACAGCCACCAGCTCCTGTTGAGGCTTCAGATATAGCTGATATCATTGACTTCCTGTGAGATAGCAATCCTTGTCCCTGGAGCTTATTTTCAGATTTAACTAGAACTTTAACATTCTCTTTTCTTCTCCCTCCTTAGGCATCATGTGATCCATTATGAGGGGCAAGGAGGGCCGGTTCAAGCAAGCAGCAGACCTAGAGCTGAAGTCCTTGCTCTATGCGGAAGGGCAGTCGAAAGCTTACGCCCAGATGTGCAGCATCTTCTTTCTCATTTGAAGACTGATGCAAATTCATCTATTTATGGGGCAGCGCACCTAAAGTCTGTTCAAAACTCCTCTTAGTTTCTTTTTTATCTTACGTAAATACGTAATAATAGAAGGTGATGACTCCTACATTGGGTTTGTACCCCTGCATCTTACAACATTATCGGGATATTTCATAGCTCGGTCTTGACAAGAAAGTCAATTGTTTTGCTACTAAATATAGTCATTATTGCCTTGGTTGTGTAGGTATAATATTTGGCACAATTTTGCTGCTTAAAGTATCACACTCTGCATTAGTGGCTGCTTATAGTTGTATTATTTCCATTCTAATATAATAGGTATAATAGGGCTACAAGCCTCGTAAGCTCCATATTATTTTTACATGGTATCATGAGTCAAACATTGCGTCAAACCCTACATAAGTAACATTTTCAAAATAAACAAAAACCCTACCTGATTCTTCCCTCCGGCTCCAAGGGTCAAACATTGCGTCTCCGGTCTCTCCCTACGGCCCTACCCCTGGGATCAACTTCGGTTCTCTCTAGAACCCCCTTTTCTTCTGAGTTACAGCTATCTATATTCTATAGTAGCACAACCGGCCTCCTCTCAATCAGAGTCCACCTCCTAGCACATATTTCTCTCCTCTTTCTCCACGGGTGGATTTTGGATGACAAAGCCTCTTCCTTGGCCCTTGGGTCTCACCTACAGTACACAAACCTTCTCCTTAGTGGTTCACCATGTTTTGGACTGCTCGTCCAAAGTATTTTCACTGGTTGCTCGTCTGGTTCCTTCCCTTTCACATTCGGCTGGGAATATACGTGGGACCTATCCTTGGTGCTCACTTGGTATCATCCCTGTGGTACATCAGCCTTCTTTTGGCCTCTAGAGTCTAGACAGCCTATTGCGGTAGCTTCAGGTTCTTTATCAACAGTTCAACACTATCTTCAGGATTTAACTATTCGGCTTAGGCATGGAGCCGGGACCCGGTCAGGCCTTTCGTGGTTTGGGGAAGGCCTGGGACCGGCCCGGGTTGCCAGCGGGTCCGGGTCGTGCCGGGCCTCGGGCTAGTTTATATATATATATATATATATATATATATATATATATATATATATATAGATGAAACTTCATGTCAGGCCGGCCTGACGGGCTGCCCCGTCCGGCCGAGCCCGTTTGGGCACCTTCCCGATTGAATTTTTTTGCTGAAATTTGGTATGGATGTACTAGACTTGATGACGAACATGCTAAAAAAATTTCATCGAAAAATTCCACCGGGAAGGCCCTCATAACATGGGGGCCGCACGGCGGCTCCGGTAAGGTATACCTTACCGGAAAGATTTCCGATAGATAGATAGATAGATTTCCGATAGATAGATAGATAGATTTCCGATAGATAGATAGATAGATAGATAGATAGATAGATAGATAGATAGATAGATAGATAGATAGATAGATAGATAGATAGATAGATAGATAGATAGATAGATAGATAGATAGATAGATAGATAGATAGATAGATAGATAGATAGATAGATAGATAGATAGATAGATAGATAGATAGATAGATAGATAGATAGATAGATAGATAGATAGATAGATAGATAGATAGATAGATAGATAGATAGATAGATAGATAGATAGATAGATAGATAGATAGATAGATAGATAGATAGATAGATAGATAGATAGATAGATAGATAGATAGATAGATAGATAGATAGATAGATAGATAGATAGATAGATAGATAGATAGATAGATAGATAGATAGATAGATAGATAGATAGATAGATAGATAGATAGATAGATAGATAGATAGATAGATAGATAGATAGATAGATAGATAGATAGATAGATAGATAGATAGATAGATAGATAGATAGATAGATAGATAGATAGATAGATAGATAGATAGATAGATAGATAGATAGATAGATAGATAGATAGATAGATAGATAGATAGATAGATAGATAGATAGATAGATAGATAGATAGATAGATAGATAGATAGATAGATAGATAGATAGATAGATAGATAGATAGATAGATAGATAGATAGATAGATAGATAGATAGATAGATAGATAGATAGATAGATAGATAGATAGATAGATAGATAGATAGATAGATAGATAGATAGATAGATAGATAGATAGATAGATAGATAGATAGATAGATAGATAGATAGATAGATAGATAGATAGATAGATAGATAGATAGATAGATAGATAGATAGATAGATAGATAGATAGATAGATAGATAGATAGATAGATAGATAGATAGATAGATAGATAGATAGATAGATAGATAGATAGATAGATAGATAGATAGATAGATAGATAGATAGATAGATAGATAGATAGATAGATAGATAGATAGATAGATAGATAGATAGATAGATAGATAGATAGATAGATAGATAGATAGATAGATAGATAGATAGATAGATAGATAGATAGATAGATAGATAGATAGATAGATAGATAGATAGATAGATAGATAGATAGATAGATAGATAGATAGATAGATAGATAGATAGATAGATAGATAGATAGATAGATAGATAGATAGATAGATAGATAGATAGATAGATAGATAGATAGATAGATAGATAGATAGATAGATAGATAGATAGATAGATAGATAGATAGATAGATAGATAGATAGATAGATAGATAGATAGATAGATAGATAGATAGATAGATAGATAGATAGATAGATAGATAGATAGATAGATAGATAGATAGATAGATAGATAGATAGATAGATAGATAGATAGATAGATAGATAGATAGATAGATAGATAGATAGATAGATAGATAGATAGATAGATAGATAGATAGATAGATAGATAGATAGATAGATAGATAGATAGATAGATAGATAGATAGATAGATAGATAGATAGATAGATAGATAGATAGATAGATAGATAGATAGATAGATAGATAGATAGATAGATAGATAGATAGATAGATAGATAGATAGATAGATAGATAGATAGATAGATAGATAGATAGATAGATAGATAGATAGATAGATAGATAGATAGATAGATAGATAGATAGATAGATAGATAGATAGATAGATAGATAGATAGATAGATAGATAGATAGATAGATAGATAGATAGATAGATAGATAGATAGATAGATAGATAGATAGATAGATAGATAGATAGATAGATAGATAGATAGATAGATAGATAGATAGATAGATAGATAGATAGATAGATAGATAGATAGATAGATAGATAGATAGATAGATAGATAGATAGATAGATAGATAGATAGATAGATAGATAGATAGATAGATAGATAGATAGATAGATAGATAGATAGATAGATAGATAGATAGATAGATAGATAGATAGATAGATAGATAGATAGATAGATAGATAGATAGATAGATAGATAGATAGATAGATAGATAGATAGATAGATAGATAGATAGATAGATAGATAGATAGATAGATAGATAGATAGATAGATAGATAGATAGATAGATAGATAGATAGATAGATAGATAGATAGATAGATAGATAGATAGATAGATAGATAGATAGATAGATAGATAGATAGATAGATAGATAGATAGATAGATAGATAGATAGATAGATAGATAGATAGATAGATAGATAGATAGATAGATAGATAGATAGATAGATAGATAGATAGATAGATAGATAGATAGATAGATAGATAGATAGATAGATAGATAGATAGATAGATAGATAGATAGATAGATAGATAGATAGATAGATAGATAGATAGATAGATAGATAGATAGATAGATAGATAGATAGATAGATAGATAGATAGATAGATAGATAGATAGATAGATAGATAGATAGATAGATAGATAGATAGATAGATAGATAGATAGATAGATAGATAGATAGATAGATAGATAGATAGATAGATAGATAGATAGATAGATAGATAGATAGATAGATAGATAGATAGATAGATAGATAGATAGATAGATAGATAGATAGATAGATAGATAGATAGATAGATAGATAGATAGATAGATAGATAGATAGATAGATAGATAGATAGATAGATAGATAGATAGATAGATAGATAGATAGATAGATAGATAGATAGATAGATAGATAGATAGATAGATAGATAGATAGATAGATAGATAGATAGATAGATAGATAGATAGATAGATAGATAGATAGATAGATAGATAGATAGATAGATAGATAGATAGATAGATAGATAGATAGATAGATAGATAGATAGATAGATAGATAGATAGATAGATAGATAGATAGATAGATAGATAGATAGATAGATAGATAGATAGATAGATAGATAGATAGATAGATAGATAGATAGATAGATAGATAGATAGATAGATAGATAGATAGATAGATAGATAGATAGATAGATAGATAGATAGATAGATAGATAGATAGATAGATAGATAGATAGATAGATAGATAGATAGATAGATAGATAGATAGATAGATAGATAGATAGATAGATAGATAGATAGATAGATAGATAGATAGATAGATAGATAGATAGATAGATAGATAGATAGATAGATAGATAGATAGATAGATAGATAGATAGATAGATAGATAGATAGATAGATAGATAGATAGATAGATAGATAGATAGATAGATAGATAGATAGATAGATAGATAGATAGATAGATAGATAGATAGATAGATAGATAGATAGATAGATAGATAGATAGATAGATAGATAGATAGATAGATAGATAGATAGATAGATAGATAGATAGATAGATAGATAGATAGATAGATAGATAGATAGATAGATAGATAGATAGATAGATAGATAGATAGATAGATAGATAGATAGATAGATAGATAGATAGATAGATAGATAGATAGATAGATAGATAGATAGATAGATAGATAGATAGATAGATAGATAGATAGATAGATAGATAGATAGATAGATAGATAGATAGATAGATAGATAGATAGATAGATAGATAGATAGATAGATAGATAGATAGATAGATAGATAGATAGATAGATAGATAGATAGATAGATAGATAGATAGATAGATAGATAGATAGATAGATAGATAGATAGATAGATAGATAGATAGATAGATAGATAGATAGATAGATAGATAGATAGATAGATAGATAGATAGATAGATAGATAGATAGATAGATAGATAGATAGATAGATAGATAGATAGATAGATAGATAGATAGATAGATAGATAGATAGATAGATAGATAGATAGATAGATAGATAGATAGATAGATAGATAGATAGATAGATAGATAGATAGATAGATAGATAGATAGATAGATAGATAGATA